TGTTGTTGCCAAAAAAAGGAGAAAGGGAAAAAACCCTCCTCGGTTTCAAGGAAACTCACGACAACTTCAGAAAAACGCGTGAACGTAATGGATGTGCTCATTTCTCTGAATATTCAGCGGAGGCCAGGGGCCCCCATTTGTCACATGTCATTTGGAGCCACTGGATGGGGGCCGCCGGGGCTGGGGGACCGCTTCCGGGCCTGGCCCGCTCCTCCCGGCTTCCTGAAAGGAACCATCTTTTATTTCTCTTTATTCCCAGGAATAATGGCTCTTGACATAAACGGCTCCCACTAGCAATTAGCCGTGATTAATGCGGGCCGACTGCGGGAGCGAGGAAGTGCCCGGGAGGGGTGGGCGACGTCGCAGAGCCGTGGACTTGCAACAATTGCGTCTTCCAGGGGCGTGCGAGCGGCTCCGCGAGGCCTCTTCCAGCGCTCGGCCTGGGAACCGGCTGCGGCCCAGCATGGCCAGTGGCCGCAGACAGGGCCGGGGTCAGAGGACAGACGCCCACCCTGAGGACGCCTTGCGTGCCACACACACGGGAGCCCCGAGCCGCCAGGAGTAAGATCGCAACGGCTGGGCAGCCTGGGCCTGGCCTGTGGCCTGAGCCAGGCCCCGAGCGGAGCCGGCCTCAGTTACCGCGGTTGGGCAAAGGGGGGCTGATGGGGCCCACCTGGTCTGGGGCTGGGATGCTCTCAGGCGCGCTGCCCTGGGGCCGATGTGAGCCCACGGCACGCCGGAGTGTCAGAGTACCCTGCAGGCCTCCTGGCCCCCCACTCCCCAGAGCGACCAGGCGCGGCCCGCCCCCAACGCCCCCTCCCCGGCCTCCTCCGCCCCAAGGCTCTGCTTCGCTCTCCCACGGTGGGGAGAGCAGGGATTTCGGCAGTCAGCTCCTCTTCTTAATTTAATTTCAGGGCTCGTTAGAGCTCAGTAATTACAGGGCCCTGGGAGCACTCATCGCCCGGCAACAGCCCAGCGTTGGAGCCCGAGAGGGCCTCCGCATCTCCTGCCGGGGGCGGTCCCCGTCCGCCGCCGCAGAGAGGAGCCGGTCGTGGGCCCAGCATCAGGCCCATTTCACAGATGCGAAGCCCGAGGCCCCGCCTGCACCTCTGCCGGGCCGTACACGCGTCTCAGACACCACCACACCTGCCCCCTCCTGCGCCCAGCCCGTGTCCCCAGCACGCCCGTGAGCCTGCAGGCCTCCCCCACAGGGCCTCCGCCGCTCCAGGGTCCCTTCCACTGCTCCAGCCAAGCCCTGGCGTCCCCAGCTTCTCTGCTCCTCTCGGTTCCCGCAGGCCTTCAGGGAAGCTTGCTGCCGCCCGTCCCGCAGGACCTGCGGTGCAGCGGCCCGCGCCCCGGCCTCCCTCGCGCGCAGACCGGGCTCCCGCCGCAGCCGCGGAGGGCTCCTCCCAGCCAGCGTGCCTCCGAGCCTCTTTCCTTGTCCCCCGCCCCCAACACACACCTCCCGAAGGAGCCTTTTCAAGCATTTGTTCCTAACTTGCTCCCAAAATGTTAATACCACAGATGAGCTGTGCGTGTGCCGGGCGGCTGGACCTGTGTCTGTGCTTCGTAAGTAAGAGGGAGGTTTCTTCATCCCCCAAGAGCTGAGTTCCCCTTGGGTGGGGGGGCCATGGCACACCCCCTTATGAATGCCTGTTCTCAAGCCTTCATGAGATCATGTCGTATCTCTGCTCCAAACCTACCCGTGGGACAGCCCGAAGCCCCCCTCACTCAGGTCCTGGTCCCATGTGGGACCCCTGCACCCTCCACTGCCACCCGCCCGGGCACCTGCCACCTGCCATCCCGCCACCCGGGCTCCAGCGCCCGGCGGTCTGCCTCCCGGCCTCCTTTCCCTGAGGGCTCTGCTCGGACCTCCGCTCTCCAGTGGCCTCCCTCTGAGCCACTCAGCACCGGACGGCAAGTGCTCCCTTAGGCCTGCAGCCGCCTGGAGGGCGGGGGCCCCTGGGCCTGGCTCCCCGGGAGCCTCCCTTGGGACTGGAGGGCCGTGAGCCGTGGAAGGAAGGAGAAGGTACCCCCCCAGCTCACCGTCCGCACGGCCCGCAGAGCCTGCCACCTGTGGTGCGTGTCCACAGGCTTCTTCCCCCTTGTTCAGTCCTCGAGGCCTCCCGGGCCACCCGTGAGGAAGCCGAGGCAGCCGCTCAGCATAAGCCTCTCCACACTGCCGACGGGAGACTCGGGCAGCCACTCCGGCGCCGCCCTCGGGGGCCCCTCCCCGGGTCGATGCTCCGCCGGCGCCGTGAGGAGCCGGGCACTGGGCCTGCCCGCCCGCAGGAGCCCGAGACGGTCAGGAGAGGCTGGATTGCATGGCAGGAGGGGACAAGCCCAAACGCTCCAGGCCGCAGCAACCGCAGCTATTTGTCCCTCACGCTGCAGGGGCCCCGGGAGTCAGGACGATGAAGGAGCCACTGTCTCGAGCACCCCCGTCACCATGGCAGAGGGGACAGTGCTCCCCAGGATCTTGCTCTGGCACTAGGTGCCCAGAAGTGACTGGCGTCACAGCACCCACCCCTCACTGGCCAGCGGTCACCACCCCGCCCTCCCCAACCGCACAGGCTGGGGGCGCAGGCCCGCCCGGGAAGGGCCGGAAGGCGGGAACAGGCCCGGCCCGGCCAGCCGCTTGGGGATGGCAAGGAGCCGCCCTGGCCGCCCAGCCTCCGCTCCGCAGCCTGGGTCGGGCCTTGGGGTCTCCCTCCAGGCCGCTGCCTCTGGCCCCCCCAGCCCAGCGCTCGTGGGCGCTCACTCCAGCCCAGCCTCTGCCAGCTGAACAAGGACTCCCTGTGACGGGGAGGGACCCGAAGTGGGTCCTCGAAGCAACTCAATTAACCCTCCATCAGAAATTGTAACACAATCAATTTGGGGAGCCGACTGACATCGTAACACAGTAATTAGGAACAACTTTCAACTCTTGGCTTCCTTTGAAGATGGTAATTGCAATTAATTAAACATCCTCGCTGCTCCTCAGAGTCTGTTCCTGGGGAAACTGGAGCAGGGAGGAGGGCCCCACCTGACCCTGTTCCTGGGAAACTAGGGGGCTGGCTCCTTCGATGCCAAAGGGCTGAGGCCTCAGTGGTCCCCGGAAGCCCATGGCGGCCACCGGGTAGAGAGAGCCCAGCCGCGGGGCTCGGAGTTGACGCCCCGGCACCCCGCCCTCTCCCCAGGGCTCCGCCTGACCCAGAGTGGAAGGGGGGCCCTCGGGGGGCCCGGGCCCTCTGCTCAGCCAGGTTACATCCCAGGCACGTGTCTAGAAAAATTTCTACTTAGAAAACATACTGAAGATAAACCCCAAATTTTTATTACACTGTGCAGTCATGAAATGGCTCTGTCACCTTGCTGTGAAAGTTTCCAAATGGTTCCTCTCCATTCCTGTTCTCGAGGGAGGTGTGAGCTCAGTCCCCCAAAGGGCAAGCAGACCTGCCAGAGTCAATGTCCCTGGGAGGCTTCCTTGTCTCCGGGGTGGGACAGGTCTGAGGCACGGCCCACGCTGTCTCCCAGGTCGCCGTGGGACCTGCGGCTGGCCATAGGGGACACTAGCTCTATGTCACCCTTGTTACTGGCTTCTTTGCCTCCTCTGTCTCCCTTCCACACACCCCTCCTTCTATTCCCAAGTGTCATCTCCCAAGTAAACCTCCTGCACTTGAATCGAGGGACAGGGATTGCTTCCGGGGCGGGGGAAACACAAAGAATTAATATACAGTATGGGGTATGAATACCTGATGTCATTATTGCGGCCGCCCCATTGCATGAATATGACACGGCAGCTGTGTGCCTCTGATGGACAGTGAAGAGACAAGTCTATAGCCAGGAAGGGGGCTGCAGTGGGGGCGAAGGGTCTTCTGGGGCCACGTGCGGAGGAGGGGCGGGCCCGACACGCCTCTTCCAGAGCCCCGGGCCTCCTCCCCCGCCCCCCATCCCGAGGCGAGCATTTCCTGTTGCCGGTTCTCCAAGCAAGGATTTGGAAAAAGCATTTCTACCCACGACTAGGAAGCTATAAATAAACCTCGAATTAAAAGCCAGGGAGAGAAAGTAAAGCTCTGATTCTATCAGCACTCATGGGAGGACGCACCCTCCCAGCCGGCCAGCCGGCCCACCGCCGGCACACCTGCAACCCAGCCCCCAGCGGGGGGCAGCCTGGGCCTCCGGCGCCCAGGCCGGAGGCGGGGGCCGTGGGGTCTGCTGCCCACCGGCCCGCAGCTCGTCACCTGGAGAGGGAGAGGCCCCCAAGACGGAGGCCAGCCCCTGGCGCTGTTCCTCACTCAGGGGACACTCTCAGCCCCAAAGTGGAGGCAGGAAGCACCCACTTCTCCCCAGAGCCTGTGCGTGGGTGGGGAGCAGCAGTACGGGGCGGGGGGCGGGGGGGCGGCAGGCACACTGCGTGTGTCGTTCCTGCCTCGGGTCCCTCTGCTCTCGCAGCCCCTCCCCCACTCCCGCCAGCCTGTCCTCGCGGCTCCCGGGCCCCCTCCTCTGCTCTGACACCACCCGTTGCCCCTCCCTCTGCCTCCCCTGCCCCACCACCCACATCCCAGTGCGTCTGTCCTGGAAAACGGGAAAACCGCTGGGCGTGAACTCCGAGTCAGACACACCAGCAACCGGATCCCAGCCGCCCCCCAGAGGAGCCAGGACTTCGGGGTCCTGACCTGGGGGACAGAGCTGCCCACACCCACCCGGGGCTGTGGCTAAGGCCCCAGAGGGTGGCCCTGGGGGCAGTCCCACCACCCCCTCCCCCTCCCAGGGCCTCTTCCCTCTGGCAACCGCTGGCCACCCTGTCCCGCCTGCCCTTTTGTCTTTGCTCCTTCACTCACTGTCCCTTCGAGATCCGTGTGGCTCTCCTGCCCCACCGCCAACCAGGGCTGTCCTGGCGGCAGAGCAGGGATCAGGGCCCTGCGGGGCCCAGGTGCCAGCCCCAGGGTGTCCAGCAAAGAGCCTCAGCGGGGCGGGAGGGCAGAGCACTCTTTACTAGCTTTCTCGGGGAAGCAAGGGGGCTAGCCAAGTCTGGGGGTGCCCCCCCTCGGGGTGGCAGGCTCAGACCCCGTTGGCCCCTTGAAGGTGCTGCTGGCGGCGGGCCCCGGTGCCAGGAACAGGAGGCCAGGCCGCTGGCCGGCGCCCGCCTGCGCGTAGCTCAGGGCCAGGCGCTCCAGGCGCCGCTTGCGCAGGGCCGCCTGCGCGGTGCTGTGCAGGGGCCGCAGCAGCGCAGGGGGCGGGGCGCCCGGGCCCCGCAGCAGGAAGTCAAAGCCGGCGCGGTCGCGCGGGTCATAGAAGAGCGGCCCGTGGGCAGGATCGGGTCCCGGCGGCCAGGCAAACGGAAAGGGCAGCGTGAAGTCCTCCGTGAGCACGCGGATGGCGAAGTCGTCCTCCTTGCCCAGAGCGCGGTAGGCGCGCCCGATGCCGCGGAAGTGCGCCTCCCAGAGCTGCGTGTCCCCGCCGTAGATGTCGGGGAAGCGGATCTCCTGGGGCGTGACGGGACCTGGGGGGCCGGGTCGTGAGTGAGGAGGACGACCGTGCAACAGGCAGGATAACAGGGGGAGGAGGAAATAAGGGGGGGGGGGTGCCGCATGGCTGAACCTGGCACGGCAGAGGGGAGGGCACCCAGAGGCTGGGAAGGGCAGAAAGGCCCAGAATGGCGTGAAGGAATATCTGCCGCTAAATATTATTTGGGTGGAAAGCTCCATATGGGGAGGAAACCTGGATAGTTGGTCCAGGCTGGCCACGCAGGGCCTCCCAAACAAGCTCAGGGCGCTGGGCTCATCCCGAAGGCCATGGTGGGTGGGGAAGGGGGTGACGTAGCCTCTCTCCGTGGAAAGTTGGTTTGGGGCTGAGCAAAGACTAGGCCGTGGGGGCCCAGCCCAGAGGTCGAGTCACATCTTGCTAAGGACGAAGTAAGGACAGGAAGCACTCCGCTCGGGGGGAGGTCGAGGGGCCAAATGCCAGGCCTTGTAGATCAAAGTGGGGAGGAGCCCAGGGCCAGAGTCCAGTTCCCGGCCTGGCACTGCCGGCCCCAGGACCCGGGGGGAGGAGCCGCTCCACGGGGGACGGGGGTCAGGTTGGAAGGCGAGCTGGCTCTGTCTCTGGAGGCCCCCACAACCGCGGGGCAGGTCTGAGGAGAAATGTGAGAGCCTAGGTCTCTGTCCCGGGGCCTTACAGCGAGTCATACGTGGATTCCTGGAGCAACTGGAGACATCCCGAGACCACGCACAAGGAATCACGTGCACGTGAACACAGCACTTTGCCCCTGGTTTGGGGCCCCTGCGCCCTCGAAGCCCGTCCACGGCCCCTGACCGCTGCGCGGGCTGCTGCTCCACGCCCACACCCTGCCCCTGGCTCAGAGGCCTGGCTGGGTGATCCCTGTCCCTCCGGCCACAGCCTCCTGGCTCCAGAGCCTCTGGGTGCTGATTCTTCTCCCCTTCCTGCGGACACTCACGGGCACCGGGCCGGGCGTCAGAGCTGTGACCCACACATGCGGGTCCTTGTGCACTCCAGGGCAAAGGGCGGGTAGACCTGGCTTGGAGGTCCTGCCTCCCACCTGGGAGAGCCTGGACCGGTCACTTAACTTCCCTGCACTTCCGTTTCTCCTTCTAGAAAACGGGAGCAATCAGGCATGTTCTGCCGCCCTCACAAAAGAGAAGGCAGTGGTGAGCCTGCCTTATCACCGGAAAGTGTTTCCCTTAGCTCAGCCCCCAGATAATCGCCAAGGCGAGCCAGCTGGAGAACTGTGGCTCCCAGCACCGCGGACAGCTCCGAAGGGGCGCCCCCACCCCCACCCCCACCCCCGGGATGTGGCGCCAGCAGCCTGAACAGCTCTAAGGCACCTCCCGCCAGGACGGGCTAAAGGGCCGGGCCTCCACCCACAGCAGCCGCCGTGTGTCCATCGCCTCTCTGTCCACCAGAGGCCTCCTCCCTGCAGCCTCGTGTTCGAGCCACCGGCCTGGCCTCATGTTCAGCACCAACAGATGGGCAGGCGGCCCCGGGAGGGACTGTGGAGAAGAGGGTAGCTGTGGCTGGGCCCTCAGGGGAGGCGAGGGGGGCGCTCCAGGGCGCTGGGGTGACGCCCCCGACTGGCAGGTAGCCAGGCAAGGGCGGTTGCTGTGGGGCAGGCGGGGGGGGGGGGGGCAGGGAGCAGCAGGAGGGAGACCGTGAGGGCGCCGGGCAGTGACCCGGGGCAGAGGGGCTGTTGACGAGGCCGGGGAGGTGGCCAGAGGTGCTCGGGTCCTGCGCATCCCTCGGAGATAGAAACGACAGGGCTTGCGGTCAAGAGGGTGCGGGCAGGAGGGAAGGAAGGAGGAAGACACCGAGGCTTTGGGCCTCAGCAACCGGAAGAAAAGAGGCCCCACTTACTGATGTGGGGATTGCTCAGAGGGGCGGGAGCCGAGGGTCCACCTGGGGAAGGTGGGTGCCTTTACACCGGCCGGGGGAGGGGCGCAGAGGGTGCCGGCTGTGAGTCGGCCGCTGGGCGGGGCGCCAGGCTAGGACAGGCGCCTGGACGGTGCTGTTTACAGGCACGCAGCTGAGATGGCCGAGGATGGGAGGAGAGGAGAGGCTCTCTCCCCTCGCCAGGCCAGGGACAGGACGGGGCACCAGCGAGGTGTCTTAGAAGGGGCCGCAGGGCCGCCGGAGGAGGGGCCCGCCGTGAGCCGCCAGCGGGCCGCGTGGGTCAGGCCTGAGAACCGGCCTCAGGTTTAGCTGCTTTAGTGAAGTGCCCAAAAGGAAGCTCTGGTTCAAGTGGGTTTGGGAGCGAATGGAAGGGAACAATTGGGAGGCAGCGAGTATAAATAACCTTTTGGAGGGCTTTTGCTATAAATGGGGAGCGGGTAAATTGAGTTGCTAACAGGGAAGTGGAGTCAAGAGAAAGGATAAGCTGCACCGCGCTTCTGTGTTGATGGGAGACCTCGGGGAGAGGCCAGGCAGCCTGATGGGGGCGTGGGGCTCGGCGGACGGCTGTGACGGGGAGGCACGGAGTGGGGCCCGCGGGAAGGCGGCCTTGGTGCCGCGGGAGCTGGCGGGGCGGGCAGCGCCTGCACACGCACCCAAAACCCACAGGGGTCTTCGTCCCGAGGCCTCAGTTCTCCGTGAAGGGGACAGGCCCCCAGCTGAGTGTGAGGGGGCGGGGGGGCCTGGGAGCGGGTGACGCAGGAAGAAGGCCCCACAGGCATTGTGCGGCCGAGCTCCTCGGGCTCTGCTGGCGGAGGCGTGGGCCCAGGAGAGGAGTGGGCGGAAGCTGGGGGGCTGCCAGGCTGATAGACAAAAAGAGAGAGGAGAGAGGGCCAGGAGGGAGGGTGTGTGCGAGGGTGGATGATCCTGCAGAGGGGGCGAGGGAGAGGGAGGGGGAGGCGGTAGGAATTTGCTAGAAATTGTGGTCCGCCCGCCCGCCCCGCCAACGAGTGTGGGGGTCCTGCTCAGAGCACCCGAGCCGAGGCACCGCTCCGAGACTGGGGTCAAGGCTGGGCTGCCATTCGAGTACCCACACGGCCAGGGCCCGGCCCGGGCACGGGCGGCTGGGGGATGCGGGACCGAGGGGCCCGTTGATAGAAGAAACCACCAGTGTTTCAACAGCACAGACGGAGAAGGCCAGGGACCAGAATCCGAGATTCCAAGAGGCGGGGGCGTGGGAGAAATAACCCCGGGTGGGGGTGGGACCACGCCCCAGCAGGGGCAGCGGAGTGCACTTCTGAGAGCAGGGGGTGGTTAGGGACGTGGTAGGAGAGCAGGGCCCGAGAATGATCCCGAAGGAGCCCCGAGGAAAGAGGAGGCGCCTGCCCCATCTCCAGGCTCAGGGTGCGAGGGCTGCAGGGCAGCGGGTCCTGACTAGGGCAGGAAGAACGGGCTGTCAGTCACAGGGCGGGTCCCTGCCCCGCCCCAGGCCTGTCCCACTGCGCGACCCTGGCAGAGCCCTCCGTCCCCTGGGAGGAGGGGCTGGGCTGGCTGCCCCGTTGCAGAGCCCCAGGTGCCCGGCACCCTCCTCGCCTCCGTCCCTCCGCCTGCCCAGGGCCTCACCGGGAGGAGGTACGGGCGGAGGCGGCAGGCTTGCCTTGCCGGGATCCCCGGAACAGGGGGAGGCCATGTCGACAGCCTGGGGGTCAGGCTTGTTTACCTGGCTGCCCAGGAGACGGGGCGGGGCCTCCTCGGGGAGGAAAGAACATTGTGTTTAAAGGGGCCCCACCTGGACCTGGGCGGGGGGTGGGGGGAGAGGTGGAGGGAGGTGAGCGGGCACAGCGGGGGGCCCCCCACACCCCTGCAGCTCACCTGCCACTCAGAGACCTCCCCCACCCCCACCAGCCCACCCAGCCCGTGGACTCCCAGGACCATCCCCCTTCCCCAGGTCACCCCGGTGTCCGCGGCCGCCATCCTGTAGCACAGAGGCCGCGACCTGGCAGAGGAGGGCCGCCCCTCCGGACCGAAGCCGCCCATCCCAAGGGCATTCCAGGGTTCAGGGCTGCTCAGGGCCCCTCTTGGCATCTCCGCAGTCCCCAGGATGGGGGTCAGACAGGGCCGGCCTCCAGGACCCTGCGGGGGCCGAGGAAGGCGCTGTGAGTGGGCAGGCGGGCAGGCGGGAGGCCAGGGTGAGGGAGCCGCTCTGTCTCCCCGCCTCTGGGAGCCCAGCCGAGGCAGGTCTGAACCCCGGCCTGGGACAGACCCCCGGGGGTGAGCGGGCTCCGCTCCCCCTCAGAGAACCCCGACATCCTGCCGGGGAGAGCCTTGCTTCTAGCCAGGGTGCAGGGTGCAGGGGAGGGGGCTGCGGGCCCCCCACGCCTGCCCCAGCAGTGCAAAGGGACATTCGTCACCCCCTCTGCCACCTCCATTGTTTACGTGAGCAAACCTGCCGCACCCTTCAAGGGCTTTCAGAGGGGGGCGGAGGAGGCCCCCGCCCAGGCCGCGCAGCCCCTGTAAGACTGGCCGCCCTTCAGCCACCAGGCTGCTGTCCCCCGTGGCCAGGAAGCCAGTCCTGGGGTGCGGGCGTTCCTTTGTGACCGGGTCAAATGCCTGTTTTGTTACATGATATCATCCCTTCTCCAAGGTCATTGCTTTTCTCATTTAATCTCAGGTAAACTGTTTTCAGCCCTTTTCTACAGATGGGGAAACGGAGGCTCAGAGAGGTAACTGTTTGTTTGCTGGGTTGAACGGAGTCACGCCACTTTGCATTCCCGTCTGGGAGGAGGGTTAAAACGCCAGGGGAAATGGCGCACATCCCATCTCAAATGGGGTGTGAGAATCTAGTCACATGGTCGCTTAGCTGCAAGGGAGGCTGGGAAGTGTAGTCCACACCTGGGCAGCCAGGTGCCCGGCGTTTGGAGGGAAATCTTCCAGTTTGCCGCAATAGTTAAGACAGGCCCCGTATATCTTAGTTTGGGCTTTGCAAAGTCCACTGTATTACTTTCCCAAGGCTGCTGCCAAGGGCCACCACATGCTGGGTGGTTGAAAACAGCGTCACTGGGCTGAAATCGGGGTGTCGGCAGGGCCGCACCCCCTCCAGGGGCTCTTGGAGGGGACCTGTCCCTGCCCCTCCCAGTGTATGGTGGCCGCTGGCAGTCCTCGGCCTGCAGCCACCTCGCCCGTCTCTGCCTCTGGGGTCGCATGGCCTCCTCCTCTTCTGCTGGTACAAAGCTCCCTCTCACGAGGACACCTGTGGTGGGCGGTAGGGACACCCCGATAACCCGGAACAGTCTCCCCATCTGAAGATCCTGCCTTAACCAGAGCCTCAAAGGCCTTTTTTGCTGCATAAGCGCACAATGACAGGCTCCAGGGATTGGAACAGAGATACCATCTCCGGGGGCCTTATGCAGACCCTAAGGCCTTGCTGTGAGGACGAGGGGTCCTGGGGGGCATCCCCGGGGGACAGAAGGAGGCCGATCAAGGTGTCATCAGGCAAGTGGTCATCTCTGGGAGCCACTGGGGTTCGACCCCACAGGGCGTTCCTGTTGAGGGAGGAAGAGCCCACGACTCAGCCACCCACCGTCTGCCATGGCTTGAGGGCGACTCCCAGGAGAGCTGTTTCTCTGGCACCTTTGGCCAGTGGCCAGAGAGCCCCAGGACAGAGAACAGCAGGGCCGGCACTGAACTCTGGAAAGAGTAAGCGCCCATGAGCGTGGGTGGGGGACCGGGATCGTCTGCTCCCCGGTCCCCAGCGCAGGGAGCTTGCAGTCTAGCTGTAAGGCAAAGGCAAGTTAATCGCTCAATAAGGGAAACATCAGCTGCCAAGAATCCCGAATCACCGATTCGAAAGAACCGATGCGCCCCTTTGTTCGTAGCAGCGTTATTTACAACAGCCCAAGTGCCGGAAGCAGCCCGAGTGCCCGTCCGCGAATGAGAGGATCAAAAAACTGGGGTACATTTACACCATGGACTACTACGCAGCAGAGAGAGGGAAGGAGCTCCCACCTTTTCCGACAGCAAAGGTGGGCTGGAGGGCTTTATGCTGAGCGAGATAAGCGGGCGGTGAAAGACAAAGACCGTGTGATCTCCCGTGTAAGAGGAACCTAATGAATAAAATAAACTAATGAGCCCAATGGGAACCACAGGCAAGGGAACAGGGAACGGACTGACAGCGACCAGAGGGGAGGGGGAGGGGACAATGGTGGAAAGAAGGGGAAGGCTCCGTCGAGGAGCACGTGTGAATGACCCAGAGACACGGACCACCCACGGCGTGGGGACTGATGGGGGGGTGGGGGGCGGGCTGGGCGGAGGAGGGCAAAGGGCGAAACAGCGGGACAACTGTCAGAGAACAACAATAAAAAATAATAAAGCCTCAAAAAAAAAGAAAGAAAGAAAGAAGCGCCCCCTGTGACCAGGCAAGTGTGAGCGCTGTGGCGGTGGCGGGGCGGACGGGGCCCGCAGAGCCGCCCGGGCCAGGGGCAGCCTCTTGGGAGAACGATGCTGCAGCCGAGGGCGAGAGCTGCCCGTCCCGTGTGGGCCAGGGGGTCTAAGGGGACGCGTGGGCAAAGGCCCTGCAGTAGAAAAGGCACAGGATCCGGGACCAGGAGACAGACGCCCCGGAGGCCGCGAGACTCGGCGGGCGAGCGGTGAGCTGGGAGAAGGGGCGAAGGCATTAATCAGGGGCGCGGGCACGGCCACCGTACCTTCCCCTTCAGCAGCACGGTCACCTCCACTCTCAGCACCCCCCGCCACTGCACGGCCCCCCTTTCCTGCCGCCCTCAGGGGCAGACAGGGTCCAGCAGAGCGAGCAGGGAGGCGCAGCGAGGAGGAAGAGGAGGAGGACGGGCCAGAGGCCGCCAGACAGCTCTGCTCTGCATTGCCCACTCTTCCCAGATAATCCCTCCTGCCACCGGCTTGCAGTTATTTTTAAAATCTCATTTTCAGAAAGTGGAGGAGAAAAACCTCTTTCTTTTGCCTTTTCCCCTCTTCTTTCTGTGAAAGATTAGGAAGGGGGGGTGAGGGAGGAGGGAGCCCTGGAAGACAGGGTGTTCCCGGCAGGGCACCTGCTCAGGGCTAGGAGGCTTCTGCTGACTCTAGGCCCCCGTCCCATGGGTCCCAGGCCCCCCAGTCTTGGGCAGCGCCTACAAAGGACGTGGCCGGCTTCTCCCACCCAGCAGGCACTCCGTGGGCCCATATTACGCGCGGGAGCCCAGCAGGGAGGGAACTCAGGGGGAGTCCCAGGGCTGGGAGCTGGGGGAGGGGCACGGGCCCCGCCAGGGCCATGAGCCAAGGCCCCCGGGCAGTGCCAGGGGCGCCAGGGTTCATGGGCACAGCAGCGCGGGCCTGGGTGGGCTGGCAGGGTGGGGCCGACCCCAGGGGCCCATCGGGGGGCGCTCTCACTGCCACCCCACAGGGGGCCCGGCGAGGGGAGTGAGTCCCTGAGCCAGGAAGGGCTTGAGCCCGCTGCCAGGTCTCGGAGGGAGGCGCTGGGGGGCGCGGGCAGACGGGGGTCCGGGCAGGGCTGCGGGGCGCGGGGTCAGACCCCTTCTCCTGGGGCGGCGGCAGCAGCCTGTGGTGAGGCCCCGTCCGCGGCTGGGAACCCGGGGGCGGGAGCACCTGGGGCTCTCCCAGAACCGCAGCCTCCCGGGGTGGCGTGTCCACAGCCCCAGGCCCAGCCCTGAGCGGTGGGAGGTCGGGGTCCCCTCCCACACACACTCTGACCTGTCGTTCTGGGTCCAGGAGGGCTGCGGGGTGGGGAGAGCGTGTCGCTAAAGGAACACCGCAGCCCCCCTCCCCAGAGCGCCCCTGCTGGGAGTCCTGCCTAGGCCCATGGCGCCACCTGCCGGCGGCGCGGGGAGGCGCGGCGAGTGGGCCCCCAGGCCCCAGTGGGGCTCTGACGCCGGGGAGGAGCTGGTACCCTGGGGGTGGAGGCAGATGCGAGGGGTGCCGTGGGTCTCACCCTCCCCCTGGACTGGGGTTGGGGGGCCTCGGTATGAACCTGGCCCCACCACCGAGTGCTGTGTGACCTCCAGCTAGTTCCCCACCCTTTCTGAGCTTCATCCCAGTGCCCGGCGCAGGGAGGCGTGCACGGCGGGCTCCGAGGCTGCTGTGAGAAGAGGCCAGCAGGCTGGGGCCCCAGCCCCGACGATGCTCCCTGATTCCTGAGAGGCTCCTTGGGGAGGCAGACACCCGGCAGGCCCCAGTGGGGACCCTTCGGCCCCGACACCTCGCCGTTTTCAAACGTGGCAAGACGTAGGGGGACGTGCACAAGGGTGCGACCCCACATCTCAGGAGGTGTCCCTCCCCGTGTGCCGGTGCTGGGGCCTGTCCACAGGGGGCCCATTCGCTCCCACCCACCCGGCGTGCTGCATAGACCCCTTGACACCCGGCCCCTCCCGGACCCTGCAGAGATGGGCGCGCCACCTCTAAAGGCGCTCTGTTTGCCAGCCGGGACTTGCCAGAAAGTTCTCCCATGGAAACAGTTCACAGAAACCCTGCCTCACCATCATCCAGGTGTGAACAGTCTAGGACGTTCCAGGAACCCACGGAGCAGAGCTCCCAGGGCTCAGCCTCTCTCCACATCCCTCCCCCCTCCGCCCTTCTGCCTGGAGTCCTAAGAAGGGGACCCACTCCCCACTCCGAGGCCTCACTCTTGGCCCTCACTCTTCCCAAGGGAGAGGGCTGCTTGGCCCACCTGCCCAGGGAGCGCGGCGGACACTCCCCAAGCAGCTCTCAGACACCCCGGGCCGGCCGGGCGGCCTGGCCCATTCCCGCGGTGTAAATGCTGCCACCGCTGCTGAGGTCCCACTGCAGTGCGCCAGCGCCGCACGCAGAATCGGGCGGGGGGACAGTAGCTCACGTGTCCACGTGCCTATGTCCCCTACGTCTGCATCAATAACCTCGGGGCCTGGGTAGTGGGGACACAGTCCAATAATCAAGGAGTCACAACTGTGGGATACTCAGTGCCTGGTTTTAATAGTCCATTTAATGGTCAGCCTCTTCGGCTGTGTTTAACAACCAGCCCTCAAAATTGCTGAAGACCTAAGGACCAGCCGTGACGTCTGCTGGGGTGGCTCTAGCCATTCACGGGCTGAGACCACCGGACAGAATGCCTGACAGGGACACACCGGAGGCCTGGGGCCCTTCTCAGAGAAGAGGTACACCCCAAACCCCCGTTCTGGCAGCTCTGCGCGGCCAGGCCTCCCGGGGACCCTCCTCCGGGGCAGGACCCAGGGACCAGTCGCCCAGTGCCCTCCAAGGTGTGGGAGGACAAGGAAGGCGGGGGGTCCAGCAGAGCCGGGTTACATGCTGACCCCTCCATCCCAGCACGACGTCCGGGAAGGACGCCCCCCCCTGCCTCAGGGGAAACTCACGGCCCCCACCTGCTGGGCTTGGGTCGGGGCGGAAGGCTCGGGGTAACGTGCTCAGGACAGGGCCTGGTGGGGCCTCCAAAACCATGCCCTCCTCCGGACTCTCCCCTCGCCCCGCCAGCCTCAGGACCCCGCCACCGAGCGGGACTCCAGGGCAGCCACCTGGAAGGAGGGTCGGGCGGTGTGCCGCGCTGACACGTGGGCAGCTGCCCAGGTCACCGGGCAGCTGGGCCAGGCTGGGCCTCTGTCTGGCACCACGCACCGCTCACGGGAAAGCACCTACATCCCCAAGCAACTGGGGGAGGTGGGCGTTGCCAGTCCATTTACAGAGGGGTCGGGGCCCCAGACAGGTCATCCGGCCAGCAGTCCTGGAGCCAGGGGTGGAACCCCGGGGCCAGCCCCGAAACCTCCGTGACCTGGGGGCAGGCAGTGCCCGCCGGTTGTGTCTGGGACTCTCCCCCCATGGCCCCAGTCCCGGGCACACGGCTGTCTCCAGCGTCCAGGGGCTGCCCGCGCGGCGTGGTGGCAAGGCCCCTCCAGGACAGGGGCTGGCTGGGCAGAGGGAGGCGCTGGGGGCCGGGGCTCGTTGGCCCCGCTGCAGGTCCCGTCACCGACAGTCCCGGGGTCCCGGCAGCATCCCTGTCTTCGGCCCACCCGAGGACCTCCGACAGCCGTGTACGGTGACGAGGGTCCATGCTGGGGGTCCCCAGTCTGCCTTCTGGACCCAGCTCCGCTCTGCAGGCCTGCCTCCGGCCCGCACAGGACCCGAACTCTGCCGTTGCCGTTGCCGTTGCCTGGCATGGAGCGTGCGGCAGCCAGTTCTCTACCGCTGTGTGGCCAATGGCCCCCGAACGTGCTGCCCACCGCCCACCTTCACTGTCCCGCGGTCTCTTGGCCCTGCAGTCCCGGCACGGCCCGGCTGGGTCCTCTCCAGGCTGCCGCCCAGGCGTCTGTGGGGCCTGGCCCCGTGGGTCTCAGGGGCCCCGCTGCGAGCCCCAGATGGAAGGCCGGGCCCACGGCCGCACTGGGAACGCGGGCATGCGCGCTCGCGCCCGTGCCCCACCCGGAACTCTGCGTCCAGTTCACAGCACTGTCCCTGGAAAGCTGCCCTGGACACCGGAACCATTGTGACCTCAGGGGTGAGGTCAGGGCTGGCAGGGCTGGGCAGGGGGTGCCCAGAGAGAGGGCTGCCCTGCTGGGCATGAGGACACAGCCTGTGGGTTTTCCGCACCCCAACATGGACGGGCGGCATTCGGAGAAGTCGGGCAGCCGCGCCACGGCTGCTAATACGTCATCGGCTGTGTCCCAGAGCCCCAGGTCAGCCAGCGCCCCGCCAGGACCTGCGGGAGCCCGGGGGGGGCCCCGATGCCCTGCTTCCCACAGGGTCCCTGGCCTCTCCCTCTCCTGGGGATCCTCCCTGTTGGGTGCAAGGACAGGCCCCCAGGGCCCGGGGAGGGTGCCCTGCTGCAGCCCTCAGCTGGGAAGTCAGCCACGTGGCTGTTGACGGCTTGTGAGGACCAAAGGCGTGGCCGGCCGCGTGCCGGTCCAGCCCACACACCTGCCGTGGTGGGGGACAGGCGGGCAGACTCCTCCTGCTTCCCTGAGCTTCGGCTTCATCCTCAGAGAGGGCTCCTCTAGGGCCTTCGGGCCCCGGTGTCCCTGGGCAGCCCTGGGCCCGCGAGCCCCTCCGCGCGTGCCGTCCCGGGAGCGGCCGTGCACTGCGACCTCCGGCGTTCTGATGGCAGCCCTGGCCTCCGACGGGCGGTCGGGCCCATCTCCTCCTCCTCGCCGCCCTGTCCGCAGCTCTTCGTGCTCCGGATGTTTCTTTGTGCTAAGAGCACATTCCACCGGGGTCTCCGCGGGGCTGGGATGCCGATTTGGGGCGAGGCAGCAGGTGGCCGTGGCGCCGGCGGCCGGGGCGGACGGGGCGGACGGGGCAGAGGCCTCTGCTGGGCGCGGAGGTGGGAGGCGCCCGTGGAAGCTCCGGTCTCCAGGACGCGGGCCTCTGGTCAGGGCCCAGCGCTGACCCCACACCCTGCTGCGGATGCCGTGGGCTCTGGGACAGGTCACTGGGTCCCTGTGTCCCGGCAGCTCACGGGGTTGGCGTGAGGCACCCTCGCTGGGCACCGTGGAGGCCACAGTGCGGCTGAGGTGAGGTGGCAAGAAGGGAGCGGCCCCGTTCCCGGATGCCTTCAGCCATTCGTTACTCAGTCATTTCTTCGGTCAGCCAGCCACACCCTGCACGCGTCCTCGGCCAAGGCTCCCTGAACCAGGCCACTTAAAGTCTGACACCCCCCAGCTTGTCCATCCCGCCCCCTGCTTGATTTTGCCCCATGTCCCTGTCCCCCACTGACATGATGCGTAGTTCCCTGCCTGTTCGTCCGAGAATGGGGGGGCTCGCGAGGGCAGGGGTTTCTGTGCGTTTTGCGCTCGGGGCCGTGCCGGGCACACAGCGGGCCTTTACCAAGCACCCGCTGGATGACGGAGGCCGGCAGGACCGCGCCCGCCCCGGCGTGGCTTCGGGGGTCGTTTCTGCCCCCTAGCACCTGCGCTGAGGAATATCGCGGCCGCCTCGGTTCCCGTTCGCGCCGAGCGGTATCCACCGACTGAACGCGGTTGACGCACCCGCCACTTTAAGGACTGTGCGTGCTTCTCCTCTGGGGCTATTGCAAGCAAAACCCCTCTAAACATCTGTGTGTGCCAGGTGCTGTGCCACACACGCTGCCGCCGCCCTGCGGAGAGCCGAGTGTGGTGGCCAGTGCACCGCCTCCGGCGCCTCGGCCTGCACCGCACCGCCTCCCACGCGCAGGACGCGGCGCCCGGCGACTCTGCGCCCACACTGGCTGCTTTCCGCTCCCTGATGGAAGCTGCTCTTGGTGCGGGTCGCACTATCCCACCGCGAGGTTGCGTCATTTCCCTTGGGGGGGGACGTCTTTCCAGTCTTTTGCCCAATTTTGACAGGCTCGTGGTGGGTTTGCTTTGCTTTGTGTTCCTTGTGTGTTCTGGATGTAGGCCTTCATCGGACACGTCATCCGCAAATATTTCCTCCAAGCCCACAGTGTTTCTTTTCTTTTTCCTTACAGACGTCGCTCCAAAAGCAGATGTTCTTCGTTCACACAAAACCCAATTTGAGGATTTTTTTTTTCTTTTTTGGAAAGTATTTTGGTGTCCGTCTGAGAAATCTTGGTCTAACCCAAGATCATGGAGACTCCCTCTTGTATGTCCTTCTAGAAGTTTCAGAATGTTAGATTTTACTTTTAGGACTATGGTTTATTTTGAGCTAATGTTTGTACATCGTTTGAGGCAAAACTGGGAGGTTTTGCATGTGTAGACCAATAATTGCGAGCCCCTTTGTCCTTTCCTGGTTGCATTGCTTTTGCACTTTTATCAAAAATCAGTTGGCTTTTTATGTGTGGGTCTTCTTCCGGACTCTGTGTTCTAGCCCATTTATTTATATTTCTGTGCTTCCATCATACCATATTGTCTCATCTACTATATAGCTTTGTAACAAATCTTGAAATCAGTTGTGTTACCTTTCCATGTAAATTTTGAAAACAACTTGATTACCCCCCCTACACACACACACACACACACACACACACACACACACACACAAAATCCTCCTGGGATTTTAATCAGAATTATAATAAACATTTAGATAAATTTAGAGAAAAGTGACATCTTAACAATATTGAGCCTTTCAATTCATGAACATGGTATGTCTCTTCTTATTAAAGTCTTCTTGATTTCTTTCATCATTACTTTTTACTTTACAGCATACAGATCTTGCAATTATTTGTTACATTTATACCTATATATCTCATCATTAGTGCTGCTATAGATGGTGCCTTTTGAATTTCAATTCCCAATCACTTATCATGAGCTTATAGAAACATGACTGATTTTTACATACTAACTTTATAAGTGCAAATCTGATAAACTCACTTTTTAATTCTAGTAGCTTTCTTTTTTTATGGGGAACCACAGGAAAGTTTTGAGGGACGTGACCTGACACATTCATACGGGGAGGTGCAACTGGAGGGGTAAAATACGGGGACGCACGCTTCCTAATCACGGCCGCTGCCCCACCTGCTCCCGGCGCTCTCTGGCCTCCCTCCTGGCCCCGGCAGGGCTGGCTGGTGGCCGGGGCGAGGGGTCCCCAGAACACCGGGTCTTCCCCCAGTCAGGGCGGGAGCTGGAGCCGGGACGCCCGACCCTGCACCCTGCCGTCCCACCGACCACGTGTGGCCGCCAACACTTGCTGGGAAGTCAGGGCCGCGCCCCGCCCCGCCCCGCCCCAGGCCCATAGGCGGTACTGCCGACCCAACAGCATCTCTGAGGCGGCAGGACCCGCACCCCCTCCAGGGCCGTCAGGCCCCTGGACGGAAGGGTGGGCCCCTGCGAGGCGCTCTCAGCGCCCCCTGCGCCGGCGGCCTGAACGCACGTGGGGCTCCCAGGCGCGGGCACCCAGGCCCCTCTTCCATTTCAGAATCTCCTCCCACCTCTCGGGATCCTCGAGGGACCTGTCTTGCAGGAGGGCTCCTCGGAGTTCTGCCCGCAGGGACAGGGCGGCCCACCCCACCACCATCCTCCTCTGCAAGTCACAGAGCAGCCAGGCGGCCCTGGTGCCGCAGGAGCACAAGGTGTTCTTGGAGGAAGCCTACAACGCAGGTGGGCGCCGCGGGGCCCCGGTCCCAGCTCACCCCGTCGCGGCGCTCCCCTGAGGAAGGGCTGGGGACGAGGGCCAGGGGGCTGCCCTCCAGGACCTGGGGGTGTCAGGTGTGTGGGCACAGCGCTGCTTTCAGCAGAGGGTGCACACCCTCCTTGGCCTCCTCATGCCTCCTGAGCCCCCAAAATGCCCTCTCTCCCACCCCACCTCCGCTTTCCTCCCACACTCCCCACGCCTCAGATCCTGGGTGCAGGCCTGGCCCGCTGCCCGCGGCGCTTTGCCCTCCTTCGGAGGGTGACTGCCCCCTCCTGCTCAGTGAAGTTAAATTGCCACCTCCCTTGAGAAGCCAGTCTTGACTGGCCCTCCTTCTTGGACGTCTTCAGGACTCACTGCCCCTGCCCTCTGTGATCCCGGGGGCAGTGCGACCGCCCCACAGAAGAGAGGTCCACTGAGGCTGGGCAGGACCCCAGGGCTACAGGCTCCTTCTGTTCGCAGCCGGGCCCGGCCCCCCCTCGGAGCCCCCACACAGCCCTCTGGCCACCCGGAGTGGACAGCACTGAGTGCCGCACGGCTGGGAGGGGGCGAATAGATGGAGAGACAGGGGGGTGGGTGATGGGTGGGTGGGTACATGGCGAGATGGGTGGGTGGGTGGGTGGGTGGATGAATGGGTGGACAGACGGACAGATGAATTGTGGGATGGATGGATGGATGGATGGATGGATGGATGGATGGATGGACAAATCAACGGATGGATGGACGGATGAGTGGAAGGGTGGACATATGTATTAACAGTCGAATCGGTGGACGAGTACAGGGATGGACAGGCAAGGGGAGGGCGGATGGCCCGATGGACGAACAGGCAGGAGTGTACGGGGGGCGGCCCACGGGGCAGCGGGCAGGAGGGTGACAGATGAGCGGGGAAGCGGCTGGGTCGAAAGATGCTGGCTCAGAGAATGGATGGAAGTGCGCGTGCACTCCCGCCGCTTGCCTCTTGAACTCCGGACGGCTGACTGGACAGCCGGGAGGCCCAGGAACGTGCCCCGCGTGCCGGTGCCCCTTTCAGATCGCTCCTCCCCACGCCCGGCCCGCCCGGCCCGCCCGGCCCTGCCGGCACCGCCCCCCGCCCCTGCACCTCACGCCCTCCTGCCGTCCACTTCAGCCATCTGCTTCAAGATACTCCGAGACCTGAACTGCTCAGACGCCTTCCGCCTGAAGAACCTTGTCAAGAAGATCAAGAACATGGCCCACGAGGCGCCGAACCTGGTGCTGGAAACCATCCACGACTACTTTGCGAGCAACCCTGAGGTGGGAGCGGCTCGGGCCGCGTGCGGGGGCACGGGGAGCGGAGGGGAGGGCTGGGTCCGAGGCGGGCTCGAGGCTCGGCTTCTCCCCAGGGGGGCGGCTCAACGTGGGGCCAGTCCGCCCCCTCGTGGCCAGTGGGCTGCGGGGGGAGGGAGGAAAGTGGGCTGACCCGAGAACAATTTCGTGACACAGACATTATGATCCCCACAGATGAGGAAGGGGACCACCTTAAATCACCTTAGGGAAGGGAGGTGATTGGCCTAAAGCCACAGAGCCATTAAGAGATGGCAGAGATGGGCGGAGGGATGGGTGGCGGGTGGGTGGGTGTGCGGAGGGATGGACAGACGGACGGATGAACGGGTCATTGGTTGGATGGCCCTTTGGGTGGATGATTGCTGGAGAAGATTAGTGTGAGTTTTAACAAATGAGTAAATAAATGACTGCTTAAGTCAAGTGTCTATAGAGATGGAACGCTTTCCAAATCCCATAGCAGCTCCCTGAGGATAGAGACAAGTTTTTATTCATCTCTCTCTGCAGAGCCTACTTCGCGGCCTGCATGTATTTGCAATAGGTGTTCACTACGTGGTTCGATGACAAATGGCCAAATGCACCCACTGGGGATCTTTCCCCAGGGACTCCCCCCCGCCCCCCACGCGCTCTCACTGGCAACCGCCAACGCGGCCCTAAGCCTCTGCCTGCTCTGCCACCCTCAGGCCTCCAGCTGGCACAGGCTGTGGCTGTTCCACGTTCTGGAGACTGTCATCGGAGCCAGCGACTCGCTGGAGGAGACCTGGGAGAGGGCCTTCACGAAGCTGGCCCTGGAGAACATGACCAAGTCCACGGTGGGCCCCCCTCCCGGGCTCCCGGGGCGCAGGCAGCCACCCCCGGGACCCAAGGGTGCTAGGACGGCCCGGCCTGGGGTTGGCCGAGCAACGCCTGTCCGTCTTCCTGTTTTCTCGCCACCAGCGCCTTCTGAGGGACAGCCTCACACGCCCATTTCACAGCTGACACGGGTGAGGCCCCGAGAGCTCGCTGCTTTCCGAGGCCTCGGGGCCTGTGAGCGGACGAGCGGGTGTCTGCTTCCGCTCAGCGCCCCGTCCCCACAGGCCCCTGCCCCGCAGTCGGCTCTGGGCCCACTCCCCACCCCCTTCCTTACCACTCCCACCGGCGCTTCCCACACCCCGGCGTCTGGAAGTCTCTGCGAGTCTCGCCCATCCCCTGGGCTGTCCCTCGGCCCTGGGCCGCCCACCCCCCAGGCCGCGCTCAGGGGCTGCTCCGGACGGCCAGCTGTCCCAGCTGACGGTGGCTGCAGGGGCTCAGGGGCCTGTGGCTTTCGCTCAGACCGCTAGCCCAGGGCAGCCCCAAGTGGGTGAGCCAGTAAACACATGACCAGCCATGGTCAGAGAGGGGTGGCGGGTGACCAGGCCCTAGCACCCCACGAGGCAGGAATGGGCATGATGCAACCCCCAACACGGACGGAGCGGCCACACGCCAGAGACGCGCCTGTAGTTACTGCCCAGCTGGTGAACGGCGGGCGTGACAAATTCCACGCTCCCCGCAAAGATGCGGCACGTCGCCCCATTGCAACTGTCAGAAACACCAGGGCGTCCACGCCTACCGATTCCTTTCTTCTCCAACTATTTTTAATTTATAAAAAAAGGAAGGCATCTATGTATAACTGACAGACTAATAATCAAATAATTAAGAGCTGGGGGAGGGGCGGCATGACCCCGCTGGGCGAGGCCGCAGGGCACGCGGGCCCACCCGGGTCTGGACGCGGCCGGGCTGCAGCGTTGCCGAGTGCGGACAGGAGTCCCTCCGGGGCAGCCCAAGGCGGGTGTGGGCCGTGCGGCCGAAGCCTGCGGGGTCGCGCCTGCACCTCTGTGGGGGCCGTGCGCTGGCCGGGCCTCAGGGGGGAGGGCGGGGCGGGTGCAGGCCAGCCAAGCGTGTCTCAGCGTCTGAGCCCAGCCCTGCCAGGACCGCATGGCCTCTTCCCCGAGCCTCCCCTGCTCCCCGTCGGCTCCCTCCCGACGGAGGCGCGTCCTCTGGGAGCTTCTCGAGAAAGGGTGCTTGGGAAGGCCACGCATTTCTGGAAAGCGCTCTGGGCTCCTCGCCTGCCGGGACTCTGCGCATCGCGGATGGTGATGCCACCGTCTCCCCCCCACCCCACCCCACCCTACGCCGTGCAGCCGTGCGGCTCCAGAGCCCTCGGAACAGCACCCCTTTCTCCACGGCCTGCCTTTCTGAAGCGGGCTTCTGGAGCCTTCTCTTTGTCCTGCACGCTCGGCAGTTCCACAGTGGCGCGCCTCGTTCTGGGGCTGTTTTTAGCCACCCGCTTTGCGGCTCTGCGTCCTTGTGTCGTGGAAACCCGCTGGGGACAACGTCTCCTGCGTCTCTTCCGGGCTCCAGGAACGCCTAACACTCAGACGGGGCGCTTTCGAAGGCTCCTAATATCCTTATCTTCCTCTGCTTTCCCATCTCTCTGTCCTCTGCGCTGCCCTCTGAAGATCCGTCCTTATCTCCCAGACCTTCTAATTGAGTTTCCCATCCGTGCCTTTGCGTCTTTAACTGGCAAGAGATCTCAATTCGTCCTCCAAATGTTCCTCTCTTGTAGCACGCTGTTCATACATTCACCAAGGCAATATCTTATCTCTCAGAGGATATTAAAGAGGGTTTTGCTAGAAGTTTCCATCTCTCTGTTTGGCCTCTCCAAGCTACTTGTTTCTGGGCTTCATCGCATTTGTGGTTGTGGGTTTTCTCGCTCCCACGTCCAAGGCCTTCCCCCGCGGGGCTGTCTGTGGGGTCAGGAGTCGACCGGGCCCCCCTAGCACACAGGTGACCCGATGGGACTTGGGGTCTGTTGAGTGAAGAGCGGAGCCCACAGCCCCCTGTGCTCCCACGTCACAGCTCTGCTTCTTCCCTGCCGGCGCCATGCTGGCCTGGGGGCTGAGGCCCGGCTGTGCCGGGCGGACCTGGCCTCCCTGCTCGCAAACCCCCTCGGCCCCTCCAGAGCCTCTGGGCCGCACAGGTGCGTGCAGCAGGGAGGCCATCTGGCGCCTGGCCACGTCTTCAGCCACGTCACCCCCTCCGCGCCAGTCGCAGCGGCCGGAGACACGTATGAGATGCCAGAGCCCTCAGTACGAGCGCCCACTCTTGCCTCTGCTCCCCGTCGCCCGCAGGAACTGGACGAGGCGTACCAGGATGCGGCCAGCAACGTGCTGGTGGCCATCTGCAAGCACTCGTGGCAGGGGGTGGCCCGGCACCTGGAGACCGAGGTCCTGACAGGCGTCTTCCCCCACCGCAGCCTCCTCTACGTGATGGGTGCCTTGACCTCTAAAGGTACCTCCTGCCCTTGGTCCCTGAGGCACCCCCAGCTGCCCTCTGCCCCCAGGCCAGGGGGGTGGGGGTAGGGCAGGTCATGGAGAGAGATCGGGAGGGGGCCGGGCAAGGAGGCGGAGTGCAGTCCTGCCCGCCGAGCACCCCCCAGCCCGCCTGCCCAGGCCGGCCCCTGCGGGACCCCTGTGAAAGGGCGACCCTGTCCAGCTGGGCTGCCCCGTTCCCACACAAAATTGGGGTCTTGCTTGGATGAGGGCTCAGCTTTGCAAGAAAGCAAACGTTGACTGAGGCCGAGCCACGTGCCGGGCTCCCTGCCATCTGGAGCTCCCGGGGAGGCAAGCGCCGGCCCTCTCTGGGCACTCCCTCCGCCGTTTGCCGGCGTGAGTGAGCTAAGCGGTGCTTAGCTGGGGAGGCACTGGGGCCCCCTGGTGGACATCAGGGAAGGCTGCCTGGAGGAGGCAGCCAAGTCCAAGCTGTGCCGGGGGGATGAGTCGGAGTTTGAGGAGGGGATGCTGTATATCCCTCAGGGCCGTAGGGAGGAAGTGTTGGCAGTGTTGGCGAGGGGCTGGTGGCCGTGCTGGACGTAGTGTGGCCTCAAAGGCCATGCTCTGGAGTTGAAACATTAAGGTCTGGGAGGAGGCAGGCACCAGCCGGCCTCGGCTTTGCAGCCCTGCCCTGAGACTGGGGGCTGGGCGGAGGTCCCTCTGTGCCTGGGGTGACCTCGGAGACTCCCCAGGGTCATCCCTGAAGCAGCCCCTCCCTCTGAGGCTGGGTTCCCGTCTCCCAATGCCCCCTCTAAGCCTTATTTTCTCCCCTTGAGGGGACCCCAGCACATCCCAAAGGGCCACTGGTGAGCCTCACGTGGCCTCCTGAGGTCACAGGGCAAAGCCCGCGGGGCCAGCTCCAGCCTGGCTCTGGGCCCCGAGCTCAATCGCAGCCCAGTCCTCAGAGCTCTGTTCCCCCCGGAGCTGAGACAGGGGCGACCCTGACTCAGTGCAGGGTCCGAGGGGCACAGGAAATGGAGCCTGAGACCCAGCCGTGGCTGTGGCTGCAGGCCGGCCCCCAGCGACCGCTCTCTCCCACAGAGGGGCTGCTCAGCCAGGCGGAGAAGGCGAGCTGGGAGGCGCAGCTGACCACGGTACGGGGGAGCCGGGACAGCGGGCCGGGGGCGGGCAGCACCCCAAGAGATGGGGAGAAGAGAGCCCACTTTACAGATGAGCAAGCAGGCTTGGGGAGGGGAGGGGGCTTGATTGACCAGAGCTGTGGGGCTGGTCCCTGCGGGACTTAGGCTTTGAACGCGGGCCCCTAAGTGCCTGGCCCAGGGCAGGTGCCCGGCACATACAAGGCCCCTCCCACCCCTCCTGGGGGCGGGGCCATGGCTGAGGGCCCCGGGGGATGCCGGGGCGCATGGATCTCTGAGCAGGGCCGGGGAGCGGGTGGGGGCGGGCTGAAGACCCCGGCGCCGCGGCGCACGGAGCGTGCAGGCCCGTCTCCAACCGCGCACCCCGGTGAGGGCCCGTGTGCCTGTGGGGAGGGACCGGGTACAAGCCCAGGTTCAACCAGTCGCCACCGGCTGATCTACGTTGCCTCTCGGTACCTTAGTTTCCTCTCTGTCAAGTGAGGGGGCGGGGGAAGTACCTAGCTCAGGTGTGTGTCGTGAGGGTTATAGGAAAAACTCCACGTAAAGGGCTTGTTGGGTGTTCCTTTTGATTATCACGTGGTTGCAATGGCACAATAGTCCCCATTTACTATATTCTAGTGGAAATAAGACCAGCAGCAGCAGCGATACAAGTAATTAATAGACAAATAAGACAGAAAATCACTCAGGCTACAGATGACTTGAACAACCTAATTAACCAAATTGATTTAATTGACATTCCTTTCGAAGATAAACAGCACATTTGCCAAGATAGATTCATGGCTGGGCCATATGTAAAGTTTCAATAAATGAACAAGGACTGAAATCAAGCAGAGTACATTCTCGGCCCAGAACATAAATTAAAGATCAATAGCAAAAATAGGTCTGGAAAAACTTCAAATATTTGGAAATCACACAGCACACTTGTGAGGCACCCAGGGGTCACAGGAGAAATCGCACGGGGAACGTAGGAAAGGTTCGAGCTGAATGATAAGGAGGCCGCAACGCATGGAAATCGGTAGGGTCACCCCACAGCAGTGCTTAGAAAGAAATTTCTGTTTCAAAGCACCTGTATTAGAAAAGAAAAAAAGCATCCAATCTGTTACCTAAGCCTTCTCTTTAAGGAGCTTGCATAAAAAAAAGCAAGCAAGCAAGCAAGCAAGCAAAGGAAACCCTAAGTAAATAGAAGACGAGGAATGAAAGCTAGAGGCGGCTCTGGCCGGGTGGCGCCGTCGGCGGGAGCGGCGTCGCGTGCACCCAAAGGCTTCGGGTTCAGTCTGGGCCGGGGCACAGGCCTGGGTCGCGCGCCCATCCCCGGTCGGGGTGCCTATGGGCAGCAACCGATCCGTTTCTCCCTCCCGTCCGTACTTGTCTCTCTCTCCTTTCCTCCGTCACATCACTGCATTTTGCCATGAACGGTGCGCAACCACGGTTTTGTGCGCATTATACATGGGATTGGTGTGTCCGTTAATCATCCCCACGGCATGCAACCGTTACATGCGTGAACAATGCGCATCCTTAGTTTTCCCTGAAAAATGGGGGCAAAAACATGCGCATTCTCCACGGCAAAATGCAGGTAACAAAACACATATTCTCGGGCGAGGATTAAAAAGTGAGTTAATTAATTTATTCAAAATGCGTTTTATTTCCAAAAAGCTAGAGGAGGAATCGAAGAAAGTTTGTAAAGGGGCAAACGGTAGGGAGCGAAGGAACCCCGAGGCGAGTGATCCAGACGAGAAGAAGGGGCGCACCCCCCGGGGGTGTTAATCAAGGAAATGAAAACAAAACCCACAGAGCCCAGCGCCAGAGAAGGGGCGGGGCAGCCCCTCCCCCCGCCCCCCCCCCCCCGGCCTCCCTGACTGACAGCAGCGACAAGTGCGGTTCCAGTGAACCCGGCCGTGTAGCTAGAACAGCCAAACGCCCTGAGAAAACACAAATGCCCGAGCTGACCCCGGGAGACCCAGACACGCAGAGCAGTCCTCCAGCAAGGACGTTGGCGCCGTAGTCACACCCCTGCCCACAAAGACAATTCCAGGGGCTCGGGCACCTCCCCGGGGAATCCGCCCCAGGAGAGGGAAGGGGGCAGGAGGCCGAGTCAGGGCACCGAGTGGCCGGGGCGGGGGGTGAGGGGGCCGCCGGGGGGGCCCCAGCTCGCAGGGAAGGGGCTCCAGCCCTGCCACCCACACCTGCTCTCAGATAGCTGCCAAGTCAGCCCAGTTCCTGAACTCGGACGTGTGGTCCAAGGAGCTGCTGGGTGCGCTCACCAAGCCAGACCGGACACACCAGGAGCAGCCCCCGGAGAAGGTGGGCCACGCGCCGCCCCCCTGCCCGCAACCCTGTGGCCTGTCCACTGGAAGTGGGGCCCAGGCCCTAGGGAGGAACTCGTGGGCCCGAAAGAAATGGGGGGCGGGGGGCTGACTCGAAGCCCACCCCTGAAGCTCCCTCAGAGGGCGGCTTCAGGAGCCCCGTGGCAGGTCATCCACGTGGGCGCGGGTGGTCAGGGCGGGGTCAGGCTCAGGACAGGAAGCTGGCCCTCCCCCAGGCCTTCCTGTTCGTCTTCTATGGGCTGATCCTCCAAGCGGAGAAGAACAGCGCCACGGTCGGCTCACACCTGCGGACCCTCCTGGAGACCTCCCACCAGTGGCCCAAGCAGAGGGAGGTGAGGGCCAGCCCACGGCCGTCCCCGGACTGCCCGCCCCTGACCGTGGCTGAGCCTGACCCTGGTCACCTGCTGAGCCCCGACCGCCCCAGACTGAGCCCATCACAGCTCGGGTCCCTTTTCCGTCACACACCGAGTTCCTGAACCATTGCTCCTACCTCTGGTTCATGTCTGCTCAGAGCGGGGGGTGGGGGGTGGGAGGGCGTGATCACAGGCCTCCAGGGAGTCGCCTCTCCCTCCTGCCTGGCCCTGCCCTCCAGACCCCGGCAGAGAAACCCCTGCAGGGCTGGGCTCGGAGTTGCAAGTGCGACAGAGTCTACGGGGTGGGAGGTGGACGTCTGTGACACCAGACAAGTCTCCTCCCATTCTGGGCCTCGGTGTCCACACCCCCAGGGGGGGACCGGGCCTGGTCCCGGGGCCCCGCATGGTAGCCCTCCTCCCCCACCCCTCAGGGCATGGCTGTCACGGTGGGGCTGGCCGCGGCCCGCCACCTGGGCCACGTGTGGGCTGTCCTGGAGCAGTTCGGCCAGAGCGCCCCCATCAAATGCAGCCTCCATAGCTTCTCCCCGAAGGTACCGGCTCTGGGGTCGCTGGGGCCCCCTCGAGAGGCTGGGACATCGGGGCCCGCCCTCCCGGCAGGGTCCCCTGGGGCAGGCCCCTGGGGCACCCGCTTTGGTCCACCTGCCCTGGCCCCTGGCGTGGTCCCACCTCTATGCCAAGCTGCGGTGTGACCCCTGTGCCTCGGCCCCCCCCTTGCATAATTGCCTCCTCCCTGCAATTGAGATGAGACACGCTGGGAAGTGCTCTGTGACAGCTCTCGGCATGGGGACGGGGGCTGCTGTGTGTTTCTTAGTAGCTCTTTGCCCTTGGCCCTTGTCTGAAACACAAGGGCCAGAGGTCAACCGTGTGCCCCCGCAGATGGGCAGAGCGGCCACCGCGTCCCAGATAACGCCCACGGGCAGAAACATGTCCCCTTCTCCCGCTGAGGTGACCTGAGGCCCACAGCCCCTCCGAGCCCCCTGCCTCCAGTCCCCTGCTAGGGCCCGGGGCACCTCCCGTCCCTGCTCCTCCGGGGCGGCGTCCCGCAGGGCCCTGAGGCTCCGCGTCCGCCCGCCCAGGGCCAGGCCTCAGAGGACCTGCGGTGGAAGTGGGCCAGCAGCACCATCCTCCTGGCCTACGGTCAGATGGCGGTCAAGGCCAAGGCCCACATCCTCCCCTGGGTGGACAACATCTTGTTGCGGATGATCTTCTTCTTCCGCTACAGCTCCTGGGTACGTCCACTGCCCGGGGCCGCCCCTCCCCCTCGGCAGGGCCTGCGGCCGCGCGTCACTGAGGCCCCTGCTCTCTCCCGCCCGCCCCACCCCCTGGTGCCCGGCCTGACCCCTCACACCAGAGCGAGACCCTGAAGCAGAGCTTCCTCACTGCAGTCCTCATGCTGCTGGGGGCCATCGGCCACTCCAGCGACGCCCACAGCTACAAGTTCTCCCAGCTCTCCGAGCTCCTAGAATGTCTGATGGTGAGCGCCGGTCCCGGGCAGAGGGCGGGGGCAGCCCTCCCTCAGAGCAGCCTGTTCACAAGAGGCTCCGCAGGGAAAGGGGGGGCAGCCGGGTTTCTAGAACATGTTCAGGCCCCTCACAGGTTTTCCCACCAGGAAGCACATCCATATCCCCCACCGCACTTGGTCCTTACAGTGACCCTGAGCCGGCCAGGTCCGTTCCTCTAACAGGGGACATCGCTGAGGCCCAGAAAGCCAAAGCCATCCATTCGGCTTCTACTGGCCTGGTTACTAAGATTACAAGGCCATGGCCTCACAGAACCCCAGCTTACAGAGCAACTCGCGAGTGGTGGACAATGACAGAAGCTGTAAGAGCACCCCCCGCTTGCCGGGCTCCCGCTGTAACCTAAACACACCTGGCGAGCCTTTCTTCATGCATAACACATGGGCAACAAGGCCGTGTTGTCGTGAATAAACAAAGCTCAGAGCCGTTTGGCCACCTGCCCAAGGGGGAGCCGCTGGCAGGTGGGAAACCCGCATTTAGACACGGCCCGGCAGAGTCTGAAGTCCTCGCCCCAGTTCCCTGAGCGGGGGCCGGGTCACCCGGCAGGAGAGGAGCTGGGGCACAGCCCCGTGGGGTGCGCGGGGCCGGGCGCTGAGGTCGTCAGGCTTGGCTTCGGGAGAGGGATCGGCCCGGGCACGGGTGACGGCCCTCGCCCGCGCGCTGGCAGGTTGTGATGGAGAAGGAGCCGAAGGACAGGCTGTGCACAGTGACGCGCCAGCAGACCATCCGCATCGTCTCCAGCCTCTGGTAGGCTCCCCTTCCTCGGCGTCAGACAGCAAGCAGCCTGTCGGGCCGGGCGTGATGCCGGCGTGACAGTGGGCGGGGAGAGGTCAGAAGTCAAGGCCCCGCGGGGGAGGGCCACGGTGGCCATGGCGGCTGAGGGTGGGCAGCTCAGAGAGGCCCGGGCATTTTGTCCCCAGAGTGAGCGGACTCTCTGAGACACTCAAGGTCAGAGCCATCAGGGCACGACCCCAGCCTCAGGCGGAGCCTGGAGCGGGCTCTGGCAGACGGAGGAGGAAGTACAAAGGGAAACTGAGTCTAGACACCAACCAACAGCCCAGAGAAGGGAGGCAGGCTCAGGGAGCCCCCCACCCATGGGCAAGACGAGGGGCGCCTGGCCTCCCTCCGCCGGCCAGGACAGGTGGCTCTGACTGGGAAGCAGAGGCTCAGGGAGTTCAGGCCGCATGCCCCGAACCGCAGAGGGACACGGCAGGCCGCAGCCAGGCTCCCGGCGCGCCCAGCCCTGCCCTCAGCGGGTGGCAGGTGCAGGCGGGTGGCAGGTGCAGGCGGGCAGGCCCTCCCCGGGGAGTCAGACCAGGTTCACATCCCACTGGCGTGACCAGAGCTGAGGAGATACCAGACTGCCCCGTAAAGGGTGCCCGGGGCCCAGAGCTCCATGGGTGGAAGTCACTTGCACAGGAGGCCTGCCATGGGATGCAGAGGGGACAGGCTAGGGAGGCAGAAGTGGACACGTGAGCCTCTGATCGAAGCAGAAAGGCGTGAGGGGAGGGCATGCCTGAGTCCCAGGAGGGGCTGAGCCCGGGGCTGCCACCTCTGTGCTGTGCGGCCGGCATCCCCCCGACCCCCCACTGCCCCACCCCCCCACCATCCCCCACCCCACTCCCACGCCCCGCCCTCACCTCCCGCCGTACCCCTCACAGTCAGCTGGGGCCGCCCCTGGACTTGGAGATGAAATCGCGACTCCTGTCCGCCTGCCTCCGCAGCGTGCTGGCCCTGCCGCTGCTGGACGTCCAGGAGAAACACACCTGTCTCTTTCTGGAGCCGCCCGACATCCAGGTGGGAGCCGGGGCTGCGCCCCTTCCCCAGAGGGGCCCTCGGGCAGGGCGTCCAGCTCCGCCCGCTGCGCGTGCCCTGGAGGGAGCTGGTGTGAACTGAGCACCTGCTGCATTCCCAGGCCCTGCATTCACCTTTCCTGCAGCGGTTGGGCGAGCTGAAGGGAGCTCCCCGGGGGAGCTGATGGCCAGCGCCCAAGGGCTCTGCTCCCATGGGCTCTGATGGCAGCTGGGCTAGGTCATTCCTGTGACCCCCTACCCCGCTCCCGGAGCATGCCTGGCAAGCCCCGCAGGAAAGATTGGGGGCCTCGTGTGGGGGATCCAAGTATTGGCACCCGCTGCATGATTGGCCAGGACCACTGCAAAACGAGGATGTAGGACTCCCGTGTAGACCTGTGAGGAATTGCAGGATGGAGCTGGCTGTCGGCGGGCCCTTCCGAGGCCAGGGCCTGAGCGGGCGGCCCGCCCAAGAAGCCAGCCCTGCCAGAAACGAGCTGGCCTCGGCCTCTGAGAAACCCGCCCCCGTGGGCAGGCCCAGACCGCCCTCCTGCCCGGCCTCCCATCTGCTAAACGGGTTGTGAGGGGGCCCTTCCTGGGCACGCTCTCTGGTGGGCAGTCTGGAGTGGGTGGCCTGCAGGAAGTGGGCGCCCTATGCACCGAGAGGCCAGAAGCGCTCGGCCTGCACCGGCCTCCGTTCACCCACCGGCGCTTGGCGGCCACCTGACCGGTTCATCGTTCCCCACGCAGTCCCTCTACCAGAAGACCTCGGAGGCCCTGGACCAGATGCTGCAGACCTTCGTCACGCAGAACCCCACGGCGGACGAGCTGCACTTCCTGCTGTCGGTGAGTGGGGGGCGGGGGTCCAGCGCAGGATGGGGGCACAGGCAGATTCGAGGCCGAGCACACACACAGCAGGGTGTCCCAGAGGAGACAGGCCTGCCCTGGGGCTGGGGAGCGGCCCCGGGGACCCGAGAGCTGGCCCCTTCAGGGATCCCGCTGATGCGGGGCAACCAGGGGGAGGAGGGCACAGGGCCAGGCGCAGCCAGGAGGTCAGTTGGCCTTAAACGCCCCTCTCACGGAGCTGGTGAGAAAGCAGCCACGGCTCTGGCGGGGAGCGGCCCCCGCCCCGCAGAGGATGTCCCCTGCAGCTGTGTGCCCAGCCGCAAGGGGTCTCCTGAGCCCACGCCCCCCATTCTCCACCTGCGCTCTGGCGGCCGCACCGGGACGGGAGGGAGACCAGTCAAGGGGCAGTGACAGTACCCAGAGGCGGGGCAGGACCGGGGCAGGCGCGAGGTCAAAGCCACCGGGACTTCACCCCTATGAGGCCTAAGAAGATGGAAAGGTGGGGGAGGGGAGGACCCCGCCAGCAGGGGGCACACAGGGACAAAGTGGACAGCATGCGCAGGGACATGGGGCCCAAATGCAGAGCGGCCGGGCACGGCCAAAGGGCCAGCGGGGCGGGCAGGGCGGCAGGGCCAGTGCGCTGCGGCGGCCGGTGGCGGGGGGAGGGAGGGGTGTGAGCGTGGCTAGATGGGGATGCCACTCCCTTCAAGCTGCAGAGCAGCGCGTGCCTCCCCGGGACGCGGGTGACAGACCGCAGCAGGGCCAGAGCGGCTGTCTGCCACCCTGGAAGTCCCCGACACCTGGGGCTTCGCCAGGTCACAGAGCCCCCGAATACTGCTAGCCCTCCTCCGACTTCAGAGTTGCCGCTCCAGCCACGGGTCGCCTGGCAGAGGGACTCAGATCCGTCCTCAGACTCTTCCCTAGAACTGCGGCCGGGGCCTCGGCCTTCCTTCACAATTCCGGGCATGCGCGTGCTGCCTTGTTCCCGAAAGGGGTGCATCGTGCGAGGCGGGTTCACGGCCAGGAGCCTGCGCAGGGCTTTGAGCAGCAGGGGCGTGTTAGCCACAGAAGGAGGGGAAACTCCTCTAAACGCGGCTGCCTGGGCCATTGTGGACACTGTGCAGGGGAACAAAGGAGGACCTGCGGTGGTGCGGGGTGAACGGGCGGGGCCTGGGCCCATGGTGGGTGGGGCCTGAGCCTCGTCTGAAGAGCTCCTAGCTAAGGGGCGGGGCCTGAGCTGAGGTGGGCCCCTCCCTGCCCCCCCCAACCGCAGCACCTGTACACCTGGCTGGCCTCGGATAAGGCGCACGAGCGGCAGCGGGCTGTGAACAGCTGCGTGGGCCTTCTCAAATTCCTGAGCCTCAACCTCCACCTGAATGTGAGTGCCGCTCGCGCACGGCCCGGCCCCGCACCCCGCACGCCCTCAGCTGTCCCAGCCAAGCCGCCCCCTCCCAGAGCCCGCCAGGTGCTTAGGGCTCAAGTCCCCCTGTGCCCCTGCCACCAACACAGGGTGGACCCCCAAGTGCCCTGCGGGGGCCAGGAGATCCCCCTTTTTACGTAGGTGGACACAGGCTGGGGTGGGAGTGAAGGACCTCTCAAGCCCTCCCAGCTGGGTTCTGACCCCAGGTGCCCTGACCTGACCCAGGGGGCGGGGTGCTTGCCAATGCGCCTTGAAGCCCCATCCTGTGCCTCAGTTTCTCACCCCCAAAATGGGAGGAAGTGAGTCCTCCTCCAAGGGACACAGTGGGACTCAGGGGGCATGCGTGCCGGGAAGGGCTGGTAAAGCGAGCGGCCCTGCCCCAGGCCAGGGTCAGCAGGGACTGTGAGGGACGCCCTCCATCCCCCGCGGCCCCCGGCAGCCGCTGGGTCCCAGCTCGCGTCCACCCATCACTGTGGTCCCTGGGCTGAATCCACATCAGCCCCACTCAGGGAGTGAGCTGCACTCCATCTATCCGCCAGAGTCAGCATGAATTCCTTAGGGAGCCTCCGGCGGAGATAAGGAAATTAGCTCCTTGGCCGACGCCTGGCAGGCAAGCCAGCCTCACAAGGCGGAGAGGCGGGCGTGGTGTTGGGGAGCGAGGTCTGTGCCGCAGAGGCTCCTCCGGCTTCGGAGGACGAGGAGGACCCTCTGGGGGGGTTCAAAGTGGCTTCAATTTACTCAAAATCAATTTCCACAGCACAGGAGCGGGACAAGGGTGAGGCACGCGCCTCGGGCGTAACATTGATGGGGACGCCAAAACACTGTGCAGTCCAGATCCGTAGTATTTTCATGTGATGTTTTAAACAATTAACTCGGCAAGCCGTGGCCCAGGGGCCAGCGCCTGCTGCGGAAGGCGAAGTTGGGTGCGAGCCAGGCCGGGTGCTGGCGTGAGACCAGCAGGGCACAGTCGCGGGAATGGGGAGTCCCCAGCGCTGTCTTTACTTACAATTTTGAGACTGTTTTCACCATGGGGTTTTTCCATTCCTTTGGATGTTTCTAAATATTACATGAACATGTTATTTCTCTTGATTTCTGAGGGGCTTGGGGGCCACCCCTGAAATTTAGCCCACACCCCCGTCCCAGCCCCGCCCCGCGAAAGGAAGGCGACCGCTCTGACCCTGGCGGTGCTGGGGTGAGGCTGTGGCAGGGTGGGGGCTCCGTGGGGGGCTTCTGCCACCAGTGGTTCCCTGGCGCTCTCCCCACAGCCCAAAGAGGACTTCAAACGGATCGGGCAGCTGGTGGGCATGCTGGGGATTCTGGGCCAGGACCCGGATGGGGCCACCCAGCGCTCCAGCCTGGAGGGGCTGGGCCATCTCTACCAGCTCCTGATGCGCCAGAGAGGTGAGCCTCCCCGGCCACCACAGCGGACGCCCTGCCACCCAACGACAGCGCCTGCCCGGCCCGCACCAACGTCCCTGAACTCAGCTCCCCCGCCCCAGCTTGCCCGAACCTCCCTCTGACCCCAACCAAAGGGTGGTGCGGCCTCCCCCGGGCCCCCAGAACCTCTCTGAGTCCCATCCCCGAACTTGCACGCAGGCCTCTCTGATTACCGCTGACCACACCCTCGCCCCTCCCTGTCTCAGCCCAGACCCCAGCCCACCCCTGCCCACACTCACCGCCGCCCACTGCCGCCCGGCCGGCGGAAGCACCGCTCCCCAAACAGCGTGCCCAGGCCGGCGCGGACGGAGCCCTGCTGTGGAGCAGCAGAGACCAGAAGGCCACTCCGCCCGCCCGCCTGGAGGCGGCGTTCACGAAGGACCACATCTTCCAGCTTGGCAGCTCCCAAGTCACCAAGGTCAAAGCCCTTCGCATCGTGGGCAGGTCGGGGTGGGGGGCCGTGGCTGTGCTCTGCTCCGACCCCCGCCGCCACCCCTTCTGATGCGGCTGGGCCCAGGGTGTCGGTGAGAATTAAAACCTAGGCCAGGACCTCGCCAACGTCTTTGGTGGCTGACTGAGAGCTTTGGGGGAGCCCCGGCCCCTGGCCTGGGGGAGGGGAGCTGGGGGGAGAGGAAGCCGGAGGGAGGAGCTGCGGAGAGACCCCCGGGACCGCAGCCCGGGCCTGAGTCCCAGCTGCGTGTCTCCCTTCCCTCTGAGCCTCCGTCTTCCTCTGTGACATGGGCATGGGGTGCCAGCGACAGCCCAGCCTCCGCAGGCACCCAATGAATGGTGCTCCCCCTCGGCCGTCGTGGCCGGGGGTCTCCGAGGCACCAGACGGCGCCCTTCCCTTTGAGTGGGGTTCGGGCAGGAGGGCCACGCTGCAGAAATAGCCCTGCGCTCCTCATCTGCGCAGCAGCCTCTCTCTGCCCTCCAGAGGTCACCCTGCCCCTGTGACAACCTGGCCCGTCTCTCCTCTCCCACTGCGACCTGGTCTCCCTCGGCCAGCTCCTCCTTGGCCAATGGTTTGCGGGGGGTTCCCCACGGTTCCCCAGGGTCCCTTTTGCCACCACAGTGAGGCCCCGAATCTTTGCAACACTGTACCTGATTTGAACTCCGCCCCCTCCTGAAGATGTGTGAGGCTGAGCCCTGGGCGCGGCCGCACAGAGTTGCGTGGGGCCCCGCGCTCCGGTGGGCAGGTCATGGCGTCTCTGACGCGGCGACTTGGGCCTGCCCGCTCCTGGTGCCGAGCCCGTGGCTGATGAAGACCCTGTCCTTGGCGTACGTGCCCACCTCCGCCGTGAGACCTTGTGCCCCGCAGCCGGGACGTGGGGTCTCAGCAGGCCCAGCGCAGGCCCGGGCGGGGGCCCAGCCTTCAGCCAACAGCTGTTAAGCTGAACCAAATGATAAAGAAGTGGCAGGGCCCAGCGGGTGCTGAATCTGGGCCGGGCTGCCTCCCGACCCCGAGCTCCCTGGAGCTGCCGCGTGACGCCAGGGGGGTCGGTCAGGGGAGGGTCCGTGCGGAGGGTCTGAGGCCGAGGCCCGCGCATCCACGGTCCAGGCCAGAGTGGCAAGGCCTGGCTTGGCTTCGGTTTATGCCAAAACACGGGCTGGGGACAGAGGCAGTGCAGGAAAGGACAGTTCCACTGGCCACCAGCTGCGTGGGGACCGTGGTGAAGGGACCCCATAGCATGCAGGCCCTCAGGTGGACTGAGTTACACGGAGCACAGTATCCAGGACCCGGTGGGGGGGAGGGGCAACCTGCCCCACCCTGAACTCTCCCTCGGCTCTCCCTCGGACAAGTGACAGTGATGAACCGGAGCCCAGACGGGAGCAGAGGGGGTGGTCTGCTGACCCACCAGGATGTAGACCTCAGACGTTTCGGAGAACAGGCCTGGGGCCTCCGTCCTAGGATGGGCCTCACACCGCCCTTTCAGCCCCCGGGCTGCGGTCGGCACAGACACGCAGGGGCGATCGAACAGCGTAACGGGGTACCCGTGTCGGGAGGCTCAGGAGCGTGCACGTGCTCGGAGACTGGCGGCGCCCGGAGCGTGGGAGAGGGGGCACAAGCAAAGGCGGGACGTGGGCGCCGGGAACAGGCGACCCCAGTGACGGCAGCCCCCACGCCTGCTGCTACAGGAGGTCATGAAGCGTCTCACGCGGGCGGAGCTGACCGACCTCGCCTGGACCGCCGTCGAAGGCCTGGGCTCCACCAGCCCCTTCCGCGTGCAGGCGGCTGCCAGTGTGCTGCTCACCGTCACCCAGGAGCACGGGGCCCAGCTGCAGACCGTGAGGGGGCGGCGGAGCCCGCGGAGGGCCGGCCGAGAGGGGGCCGGGGCGGAGGGGGGCCTGGCCGTGAGCACCCGAGGGCCAGGGTCTCTGGGCCTGACGGGGAGACGCAGCCCTGGCCTTGACGGGTCCCAGCGAAGGACAGACGGAGGGAGGGAGGGAGGGAGGAAAGGAAGGAAGGGCCCAAGCAGGGGCGCTGGGGCCCTGGGTGCTGTCTGCAGGGTCCAGGGGCAAAGGCACATTCACAGAGCAATAGCAGGGGACATGGGGAAGGGGGGAGCACAGCCCGGACTCCCCAAGACAGACCCCAGAGAGGTAGTGGACGGCACAGGAAATGCTAAGGCAACGGAGCGCTCCCAGCAGGGTGGTGCCCCCCGCCCCCGAAAGAGGGTGACCAGCGCCAGGCCCCACACAGGAGGCCTCAGGAGGGCACCGCGAGACCTGAGCACAGATGGCGAGGGAGGGACACGGAGCCGCGGGGCGGGAGCCAGCAGGGCCCAGCCTGCGCCGAAGTGAAGTGGCCGTGACAGGAGGAGACACGGCGGGTGTGTCTGACCCCCTTGGGTGACTGGGCCACCCTTAGGCAGACTCGGGAGACCGCACACACCTCGTGAAAGGAAGCAGGACTGCACCCTCAGACGGAGACGCCCCTTCAGACAGGCGTCCAGGAGGGGGCCACACCTGGAGGGGCTCCCTGCCCTGGGCCGCCGGAGGGCGGACCCCCACCCTCTGACCAGCGCCCTCTCCGCCCTGCGCAGGTTGCCAACCTGGGCCGCGCCGTCCACCTGCAGCTCCGCTCCGTCCGCATCCCCCAGGCCAAGGAAAGTGCTCTGCAGGCGGTCACCCTGCTGGCCCGCAACCACACCCCCGAGCTGGTGGCCGCCTTCCTGGACTTCTCCATACCCCTGGACAGGTGCCCGGCCCCGCCTCCAGCCCCCGGCGGCCCCCGGCCCCTCCCAGTCCAGAAAGAGCTGCTTGGAGCTGCTCAAACCGCTCGTTCACTCACAGAGCGTGTGCTGGGCTGCCTCCTCTGCTCGCCTTCCATCCTATCCACTTGCCACACAGACACCCTGCCCAGCCGCAGCCGCCCATCACTTGCGGGGAGGCAGCCCCTCACCATCCCCCAACCAACACCAGAGCCTCCTTCCCATCCGCTCCTCCCAGGCCGCCTTCCTGCTCCCCACTGGCCACCACAACCCCGGGGGCGGTGGGGGGGTGGTCAGCTCTGTCCCACAGCCTTCAGTGCCGAGCCGGGAGGTGGGCTGGGGTCCTCTCCTCCCCAGAACCTCAGCTGTAAACCCCAGGCCCTCAGTCTGTCCCACCTGCTGCACACCACCCACGACGCTCCGCCGCGGGGCCTTGGAGCGGCAGTTCCCAGTCACAGCCGCCCCCACTGGATCTCGGGGGTTTTCACCGTCTCCCCCTCACCCTGATTTCTCCATTCCTGGGTCTATCCGGCCGATCCTCTCCTCCTCCCTCCGCCCCCACGCCCGCAGCCATCCCCTCCGCGGGGTCCTCTCCACCTGCCAGCCCCTCTCCCGCCCCCAAGCACCGTCCCCCTTCCCAGCGCGCTCCCTCTGGGGCCGCGTCCCAGCAGCCTCCAGCCCCCGCCCCAGCCGCCTTCTCACAGCCCCCCGCCGGTCCCCACCTCCCTCTGCGCCAGCGCCGATGCCATCGCTCAGCGGCACACGCGCTCCCTGAGCACGTCCTGTCCCAAGTTCCTTGCCCCTCTGTCTCACTCAGCTGGCAAAGCCCACCTCGCCCCTGCAGCCAAGCAGCCTCAGGCAGGGAAAAGCAGGCCGCCAGCACGCTTTCCATTGCCACCGCGCCCGGGGAGGAGCCCTGGATTGCCGCAGGCCACGCCTCTCCCCTCTGCGCAGCCCTAGCACCTGGGCCCTTGCCCGCACTCAGCTGCCGACCTTGCTTGTTCTGTTAGGAATTTCTAGTTGTCTTACGTTCAAAGAGTGTCGTCTGTAACGTTTCTGCTTTATGAAATTTACTGATCTTTGAAAGTTTTTGCGACGGTTCTCTGGGCACTCGGGGTGCATTGCCGTGGACCCACAAGGCTGACCTCGATTGTGTTTTCAGGTTCTCCACACCCTTCCTTAGGCCCGCACGGGTCTGTCCCGTGCTGAGGGTGCTGCGGCCAAGCCTCCTATTGCTAATGCGCCTCGGCCGCCTTCCCTCTCCCGCAGCGTGTCCTCACAAAGGCGCCGCCATGTTGGGTGAGGCATGCATGTTCTCAAATGCTACGCTCGCTTTCCGAACCGTGACTTTCGGCCTTGCACAGCACCCTGCCTCGCCCTTTTAACGCTTTGAGGCCTTGAAGGCCGCCTCCTCTGCCTTCAGGGTCCCTACCGCTGCTTCCCTGTTTTTTTCCATCCTCCCAGCATGCATTCGTCCATTCTTTTATCTCACCCTTTCAGAGTCCAGTTGTTCTAGGCGTGACCATATGTACGGCCTACAAGTTGGTCTTGGTTTGTGACTCACGTTGAAAATCTTTTTCTTTTAATAGATGAGTTCATTCCAATAAATATCATTGATTGATATGATAGGTTGACGCTCAACTCTGTCATAACATGCTGTAATTGTGCATTTTGTGACACTTGCTACATTTGCTGCATTTCTTCTCCGAGACATGTATTCTTGGATCATTAGGGGTTTTTAATTGAGAAAAGGTTGTATTTTTGTTCCGGTTGTTACCTTTGTCCTCCTAACCTATTTCAATGTCCCAGTCCCTTGTCGTATTATGTAACCTTTTAATACCTGATTTTTCCATTTCTGTTGATAGTCTGTACCCCCCACCTGTCGCGCACACAAGCATGGATGACATTCCTCCACCTTCTTTCTGGCTCTCATATCCTCCCACATAGTTGCAAACGAGGGCTGTGTTAAAATCTGCCCTCTGGTGGCCCACCCGCACCCCCACGTGTGTTACAAGGTTGCGCCCTGGCCTCAGCCCTTCTGCCGAAGCTGCCTGGGCACCCCTCAGCTGGGTGAAGGGCGCCCCACGATCAAGTCAACAGGGGTGCACGGCTTCAGGGCACCCCTCACCCCATTTCTTTATGTCAAAAGCTGTTTACATAGAGGGCAGTTTGCCTGGATATCAAATCCTTGGTTCACCCTTTCTTTTATGAAGTGTTTTATAAGAGCTGCTCAGCCGTAGCCTTGTTTTGTCTTTGAAGAGTCTAACAAGGTATATGAGCTTTCGGCCCAGAAACCTTGCAGACTTTTTCCCCCTGTATTTTAGAAATTTAACAAGTTTGTTAAGAAATGTCTCAAGAGCTGATCATCGATTTTCCCAAGTCCTGGTGGGTGCCTTGAACGTGTAGATTGAAGTGTTTTGTTGTTGTTTCTGAAAAGTTCCCTCGGCTGTGGTTTTAAATGTTAGTTCATTTCCATTGTTTTTCTTCCTCAGAGAGGCCAGCGCTTCAAGGGCTCTTCTCTCTGACCCTTTTGACTCCTTTCTTAAATGCACTTTTATTCTCTTTCTTTACTGCTTTTCCTGAGTGCCCCTTATTAAATTTTCATCCGAGTCCTATCTCTCTCGGGCACCTTGTGGTTGGTTGGGGTTTGTTTCCCTGAGATAACTTCGTCATTTCTCCCATCTCTTCCCTGAGTTCAATCACTCTCTTTTCCTTTCTTATTTATGGCTCTTCTTTTCCTTTCTAATCCAAGGTGGGTGTTCCTCCCTGTAAGCACCTGCTCGAGTGCATTTAACTGTGTTTGGAGTGTCTGTCTTACAGCTCTCCCTGCACCATGGTGGTTTCCGTGGAGAGCTCTCCCTCGCTCCACGGGGGCTGATTTTGTCGTCTGATTTCTTTACAATTACTCTGTGGACCTGTTCATTTTGTTCCTGTTCATCTAAGATGCTCTTGGAGCTTTTTATAGGATTTCACGTTCAATGGCACCCTCTTCTGTCGGCAGAGCGGAATCCAGACAACTCAGTCGAGGTTTTGGTTGGCGGTGGGGGCAAGGGTCACGTGTCCCCCAGTGTTCTGGGCTCTCTCTTCTCCCTCAGCCCCTTGAATGTTTCTCTTTTGTGTCATTCCCTTTCGCGGCTTCATTTCCAAAAGGGAGCCTCTTTCTTTTTGCCCTTTTTCTCTCCCCAAAGCTGCCCATGCTTTTCAGCACTTTTGCTGCCATGCTCTGCCATCGCCCCCGGGGGCAGGGGGGCAGGGATGGCACGCTGGGGTCGGCGCTCTTATTCTCTGCTCATAGCGGCGCTGGAGTTCAGGTGTTCTCTGAGGTCACAGTTTTTGTGTCTTCTGACTTCTCCCTTCTTGCTCTGTGTTGTTTTTCAAGGAATTGTTTTTTTAGAAGGGGGGAAGAGAGGGAGAGAAACATCAATGTGAGAGAGAAACATCGATCAGTTGCCTTCAGTAGGTGCCCTGGTTGGGGACTGAACCCACAACCCAGGCCTGTGCCCTGACCAGGAATCAAACCTGTGACCTTTCACTTTGTGGCGCAGTGCCCAAGCCCCTTGCGCCACAGCGGCTGGGGCTTCCCAGGAAAGTCCGAGAGGCAGGGACCCAGGCAGCCACCCGGTCTCCAGCCGCCCAGAAGTCCATTGTTCAGCTTTTTCCGTGTTGGAATTTACTCCTGATTTCTTCCCTCCTAAGAAGCATTTTCCACATTCCGACGTCTGTGAAGTGAGAGAGCGTGTGGCAGAGGTGATGCCTTACACCTGGCTCTGTGTGGCTTCTCTGTCACCTGAGGGCAGACAGCCTGAGGACATTTCTAATTTAAACTCTCTGCCGGAGGTCCCTTGGGGCCACGCTCAATCAGACCCCATCACAGGCGCTGTGATTGAGTCCTTGGGAGAACCTGTCCCCCGTCACGCCGGGCGCCGGCAGAGGCACGGCAGGGGCGGGGGCGGGGGGGGGGTCCTCGCTGTTTCTCTCTGCACAACAGACGCTTGGTTTGTCACATTTGCGCTGTACAAACAGCCCTTGGGGTCTCAGCTGTGGTTAGGTTCCCATCCTGGGTAATTTTTCTTAGAAGTACAGGATATAACACAGTGTGTCCTGAAGGTGTAAACAGAAATTGTGTAGTTCGCAGCCTTTCCATATTCTGAGATCTGGCTTTTTTCCCCCAATATGGCGTGTTTAGGATTCATGCGAACGTGTGACATGTAGTGGGAGGAAGGCGCCCCACGCTGAGCTACGCGGCTCCCCCCAGAACACCCTCAGCTCTGTGCCGGTGTCCCTTTCTGAAGCTTCCCAGACGGCCCCTCTTAGAACTGTCCCCGCCAGCGGCGCCTCCCGCTGCCCGCCCCGCGCCCCGCGCGCCTTGCGCACCCTTGTTGGCTGCCCGTGCCAGACCTGGGGCCGCGCCCAGGCGTGAGGGGTTTTTCCTGGCCCTGCCACCGCTGGGGCCTCTGGGACGCTGCCTGTGTGGGACAGCGCTCAGCACACACACGTTAACTGGGTGACGGTCGCCCGCAGGGAGCAAACCAGAAACCCTGTCCCCTGGGAACCGGTGGCCCGGGAGGAGCCTCTCGCTTAAGCCTCTGGAGGCAGCTCCACCCCGAAGAGGTGGAGCGACCTGCCCAAGGTCACAGAGCCGGCGTGGGGCGGGGTGGGCCTGAGGGCGCAGGCCCTGCTCACTCCGAAGGCCCCGCTCTCTCCCCATGGGCCGCGCCTGCACCCGGGGGTCTCCCGGGGCCCTCTGAGCGGGTTGCCCACCCAGCCCAGGGGCGGCTGGGGCTGGGGTGGCCTCCGCAGGGCTCAAGGGTGGCCCCCCGAGGGTCCGCCTCATAGCTGGGAGTCAAAGTTCATCCGGTCCGCCCGCCGTGGCCCTCCCTGTCCCACCGGTCACTCCAGAGACCCTCCTGCCCCTGCAGGCCCTGCCACCCAGCCCACAGGCCCCAAGGCCCCCAGCGCAGGAAGTGGGGGGCAGTCATAGTTGCCCAGCGCTCGGGAGCCCCAGCGCCACCGGCGTCCCCAGGCCTTGCTGGGCCGTGCCCTGGGGCCGGGTGCAAGGGTCACAGGACCGCACAGGCCCAGCCGCCAGTCCCAGCTCCCCAGTTACAGGCCGAGCCCTGCTCGGCCACAGACCGCAGGCTCCCCCCGCAGAATGGACACAGGGACACGCAGAGCCCTGCCCGTACCAGTGACGGGCCCTCACTTGCCCCGGCTGCGCTGGGGGGAGCTGGACCCCGGCAAACCCGGGTCCCAGAGGAAGGAGCTGGGCGGGCTTCCCAGAGGAGACTCCACGGCGAGCCCCTACGGCAGAGCGGGCCAGCCAGGAGGGGGCTCCACGCAGGGGCCCAAAGGCAGGAGAGGGGGGAGGACAGGCAGGGGCCGGAGGTCAGAGGGCAGGGGTCAGAGGGCGACAGCTTGGCTTGCCAGCTGGACTTGTCCTGCCAGTCCTTGGGAGCCCTTGAAGGTGACAGAGGCGGAGCCTTCAGCTGGCGTTTGAGGGGCCTGGGGGGGAGAGGCTGAAAGTGGGGAGACCCAGGAGTAGACCAGGGGCACCCGCCACGTCCCCCCCGCCACGTCACTCCAGGCACCGGCAGCCCTGGTCACGCGGCGCAGCGACGCGGCCGAGCCCTCACGGCCCTCTCTGCCCGCAGCCACGCCTTGCAGCTGTGGAGAGCCCTGGGGGCCAGGGCGCCCGGGAGCCGCCGGGTGCTGGCCACGCTGCTGGTGTGGCTGCAGGAGCGGCCCCTGCTCGCCAGGACCCGCGACGGCGGCCCCCAGCCCGAGGAGAAGGCCCGCCTGCCCTCACTGGCGGTAAGTCTCCGCCCCACGCCCGGGAGTCGCCCGCTGCCGCCGGGCGGAGTTGCCCTCACGGGGGCCTCTAAGCACCGCAGTGTCTGGGCGCCCGCCGCGTGCCAGGTCCTGGGGCAGGAGAACGCCAGCCCTGTCCTGCCCGGCCAGGCGGGGGCCTCCAAGGAAGCGGGTCCTGCGGCCAGGCCCAGCTCCCACTTCCTGGCTGAGGGCTCTGGACCCCTCCAAGCCTGTTTCCCCTCCGTGCAGTGGGCGGGCATCCTGTAGGGCTCGGGCGGGCGCTCAGGTGCGTGGTGTGGACGCGGGACTCGGAACGCGCTGTGCAGGTGGCACGGAGGCCGAGGGGCCTCAGGTTCCGGAAGAGCAGCGGGGCGTAGAGGGGCGTGGAACCTGGAGGAATCTTAGGGGCGGCTTCCCTGCAGGAACCCACCCTGCCCCCAGCTTTCCCCACAAGCCCAGGCCCTGCTTGCACAGCCCCAGGGCCAGGGAGCTCACTCCCTACACGGCCGCACCTGTCCCCCTCGGCTGCACCCTGGCCGAGGTGGCAGCTGCGCCCCGACCCTGGTTTTCGCCCTGCTGAGACCCAAAGCCCCCAAGCGCAGCCCAGAGCCCCCAGTCCCTCCCACCTGCAGCCGCCCAGATGCACGGAGGTCTGACAACACAACGTGGCGGCAGAAGGGAAGTCCCGCCCTGTCCCCAACACCCCCAGCCCTGAGCTGACGCCAGCCAGCCTGTCGACCGCACACAGCGGCGCGGGGTCAGCACGATGGCCTTCCCCGCACCCTACCGTGCCCCAGGTCCCTGCCCTCCCCGGCTTATCACGCTCACCCCCAACCCCTGAGAACATTCTGGACCAAATGCCCCTGCAGGCAGAGGCAAGTAGCGGTGTGAGTGGACAGAGCCGGGCCCCAGTGAGCAGGAAGCAGGAGGAGTGGCGGGACATGGGCTGCCAGACCGTTGGTCAGCCGGCCTGGCCCCCGGGCTCCAGGTCTCGGGACCTTCGCTGCCCCTGCCGCCCCGACAGGCCATGAACACGCTGTGCAAGCTGCAGTTCACGCGCGAGTTCAAGAAGACAGTGCAGGAGGCCTACCCCCAGCTCCTCCTGGCCTTCCTCGCCCAGGTGCACTACGTCTTGGAGCTGCGCCTGCCCGGGGAGCCCCAGCCCGGCCGGGACACCCAGAGCGCGGCCGTGCCCGGCCCCCAGAGGTAGGGTGTCAGCAGGACCTGGGGCCGAGCAACCGTGCGCCACCACGGGGCCCTTCCTCTCACAGTCCCCGGGGCCGGAAGTCCAAGGCGTGCACAGCCCCGCTCCCTCTGAAACCTGGAGGGAGGGGCCTCCCCACCCCTTCCAGCGCCTGGCAGGGGCACCGCCTGGCTACCGCCCAGACCCTGGAGGTGGATGCCCTTCCGGGTCCCCTTGTGCCTGTCACGCCACACTGGCACAGTTCTGTGCTGATGTCGAGGACGGTCCACCGCGGCCGGGACCTGCGTGGGAGGGGCGGGCTGGCAGCCGGGGCCCCTCTGCGCCGCTCAGCGTCATGAGGAATCCAATAAGCGAGTCTCTAAGACCGCGGGGGCCGGCTCTTTTCATTTGTTTGTATTCTGATGTGCTCCCCGCGATTTGTCAGTTTTAACAGCTCTCCCCAAGGCACGTCACTGGAAAAAAATGCCACTTCTCCTTATTGCTTGTGAATTCGAACGTGCATAAAGTTCCTTTTTTAGTCAGATCACCCGTGCAAAACGCATGAATCTTCCCTAATAAGCTAATAAACCACCTTCCGCCCCGAATGCGGGAGGGGCGGGGGAAAGCTGCTGTGCGCCGCACCACCCCCCGCCCCATCCCTTGGCTGCCCCCGCGCCCGTGGGGGGCCGCCCCGTCTCCCTGCTCCCCCAGACCTGGCAAGAGTCCCGAGAAGGCCCAAATCAGCCCACACCATCTCTCCGGGAGCCCTGGTGTGGCTCCAGGGACAGGCGACTGTGCAAACCAGAAGCTTCCGAGAGTTGGCCAGAGGGTCAAGATGCCACTCTGCCCCAAAGTCCCCTTCTCTGGAATCCGTCCTCACTCTGTGACTGAGCCCCGTGACCCGGAAATTGCAGCCTCTTTTGAGTGGCGTGGCTCGGGGCAAGAGGACAAGCCAGCCGGCATGTGGGTTGGCGTCCCTGGGGACTCACGGGGCGGTGTTGCATCCTTTGACCCTTGGCTTTGCCAGCCTCCTCAGATCGTGCCTGCTCGGAGCTCACAGCCCGTCCTGGAGGAGCAGGCACACACCTGGGTGATGTGACCGGGCGCAGGGCGGCCTGCACGGGGGATGGGCCACAGAGCGGCGCCTTGCGTCCCAGGGGCCTGCGTCCCGGGCCTGGCCCCGAGTCATCCTGCGGGGCTTGGGCCCATGGGCGCAACACCACAGCGCAGGCTGGGAGCGGGGCCCGGCTCAGCTCACCCCCGCCGCCCCAGCCGGGCTGTGTGACCAGGGCAGGCTTCCTCCGCTGCGGGGGTGCGGCCGCACAGGGTCTCCTGTGCCCACGAGGGAAGGGGCTGGAGGGACCCCGGTCGCTGCCCAGCACTCGGGCGCCATGCTGCCAGGGTGGCGCCCTCCCCGGTACACGCGGGCATGCCTCTGCGGAACCGGCCCCTCTGAGAGCAGAGCAGTGTCAGGAGGGGCGGATGGATCCTTCTCTGGGCGTCCGCGATGCCCCCGACCCTGGGCCCCCCTCCCTCCCTGCTGTGCTCTCTCTGGACCCTTAGCCCCACATTTACAGGGAACCCTCCCCCGAGGCTCAGCTGAGACCCCTCCGCCTGGGACTCCGAAGCCTGACCGTTTCTGTGAACCAGGCTGGAATGAGCCGCCAGGCAGAACAGCCCCGTGACCCCTCCACGCCCCACAGCATGTCCCTGGAGGCACTGAAGGGCCTGCTGGCCAGCACGGGACACTGGCAGGGCCTCGCCCAGCTGGAGCTGCAGGGCGCCTGGCACCTCTTCACCGCGATGGACACCTACCCAAAGGGGGTGTGCCTCCTGGCCAGGTAGGGGCGGGGCCAGGCGGGGGAGGGGGACAATGGGCCTCGGAGACCCCAGTCGCCTCATGTGTGTGCACGCACAGCCCCCAGGCCTGGCAGATGCGGGACCCTGTGCCCAGTCCCACACATGCACTGGGAGCCTGTGGAGGCAGGGGTCCCCCTGCCCCCATCCTGGCAGCGCAGGCCCCTGGTCTTTTAGGGGACAAGTGCTGGGCCTGCTCCTCTGTCCCCCCATGCCGCCGCCCGCCCAGCCCAGGCCTGGCACGCAGTGGGAGTGGAGGAACCAGAGCTCGCTCTAAAGGATGGTGCCCACCCCGCTCCGCGGCCACCTGTCTGGGTTGGGTGGTGGCAGGAAGGTGGGCACCAGGCTGTCCCATGAGCCGGGCCCTGACCGCCCCCCGCCCCGCCCCAGGGCCATGGTGCAGGGTGTCTGTGGGCAGATCAAGGCCGTGACGCGCCAGCTGCTGCACAGCCTGCACAGCCAGGAGGAGCGGGAGAGGAAGGTGGCCATCCTCATCCTCAACGAGGTGGGTGCTGGCCTGAGCCCCGCCCCCAGTGTCCCCAGCGCCCAGCGGGACCCCTGTGAGGACACTGCCCCCCGCCCCCGGTGAAGGGCAGGCCCACCGGGACAGACCGCTAACACTCCTCCTTCCCACTCGGGGGCCCCTGGCTGGAGCCCCCGCCTCTCAGGCCCGGAGCCCCGCCCTCCCTGGCCTCAGCCCCACAGCGAATGCCGCCTGTTCTCCCTCCTGGGACCCAGGCGCACGCCTGGGCTGTGAAGCTGAGAGGTGGCGCTGAGAGGCGGGCAGGTGCCCGGTGCGGCCGGTGTGGCGGCTGGGAGCGGGGGGCGGCACAGAGAGTGGGGCTCCCGTGGCACCCCTGTAAGGGCGGCAGCTGGCAGGGAGAAACCCAGGTCGGAGCCTGGAGCCGCCCCCTGCGCACCCCGCCAGCAGGAATGTCTGGTCTCTCTCCATGCGGCGCTGTCCTCAGGGGGTCCCATGAGCCAGGCTGGTGAGGGACCTGGCCCCGGCCTCGCTGGGTGGCCTCAGGCGAGGCCCTCTGCCCGCCTGAGCCTCGGTTCCTCCTGCTCCACGCTGGAGGCTTGAGCCATCCTGGGAGTGGGCCCCAAGTACCTGCTAACTAAGATGTCCAGAGGGTGCTGCTCAGCTGCCCCCGACCCCGAAAGCCCTGCCAGACCCCAGCCCTCGAGCCCCGCCCCTGAGCGAGGGCGCCGGGCCTGAGCTGCCCGTCCTTGGGGGCCACCCCAGTTCCTCTACAGCCCTGCCCTGCTGGAGGTGCTCTCCGAGCAGGACGCCCTGACCGTGCTGGCCCAGAACCTCAGGGACCCCAGCCCCGAGGTCCGGGCGCTGAGCCTGCAGGGCCTGGGGAACATCCTCTTCCACCCGGAGAAGGTGAGGGCGCAGGGCGAGGCGGAGCACGTCCCCCACCCCAGAGCGACCGGGACCCAGGTCAGAACGCCAGCTCTGTCCCTCCCCGCCGTGGAGTGTGGAGAACGTGACTCCGCCTCTCTGGGCCTCGGTTTCCCTGCCTGTAGATGGGGGCCGGGGTGGCCTTCAGGCCCCGGAGGGACCCAGGCCAGGGTGGCAGCCTGGGGAGGGGCGGTGCTGGGGAACCTGAGTTTGTTCCGGGTCCAGCCAGCAGGGCAGGGGGTGGGGGCACAGGGCCGTCGGCGCGGGCAGCCCCGGCCCACCGTGCCCGCCGCCCCCAGGGAAACCTGCTCCTCGGACAGCTGCCGCCCTTCCTCCACGGCTTCTTCCACAACAGCGAGCCCGTGGTGGTGCACCTCATGGGCACCGTGTCCGAGGTGCTGCACCGCCTGGGAGCGCGCGGCGCGGGGGCCCAGAGCCTCACCGTGGCCGCCAACGCCCTCTGCTTCTTCGACGACGTGAGTATGCCCCAGCGGGGGTGGGGCGCCGCTGCTCCCGGGCCCCCGTTCCTCAAAGGCAGGGAGAACCCTGGCTGCCCTCCACGGCGGCGGATGGATGGAGGCCCAGAGCGACCAGGTGGGCGGGGCGCTCGCGGGCCGCGCCGGGCCGGGCCGGCTTCTTGGCCACCAGGTGGCGCTCCGCCCTTCTCCACGCGGCGGAGCTCGAGTTCAGTCTCCAGCCCCACCAGGCCCTCACTGCAGATGGGCCTCCCTGTTCGCAGGACTATTTCCCTTCACTGGGAAATCAGGGGATACGCCCCGCCCCTACAGTGCCCTCGTGACACTTGGGCTGTCGGGACGTGATTGTGAGCATGAGGGACCCTGTCTGAGCGGGCAGCCCCGAGCCTGGTGAAGGCGCCCGCCTGCGGGAGCAGAGCCCCACCCCCACCACGGGCTGGGGAGGCCCCGCGTTGGGTGGAGGCGCCGACCCGCACGCAGCAGGTGACTCTGTGACTCTGAGCACCTGGCCTGCAGGAGCGGGACGCGATCCGGGCGGCGGCCATGGCGCTCTTCGGGGACCTGGTGGCAGCGACGGCGGGCGGGGAGCCCAGGGGCCTGCGCACCCAGGTCCACCTGAGCCTGGTGCCCCTGCTCCTGCACCTGAAGGACCGCTGTCCGGCCGTCGCCACGGTCAGTGCCAGCGGAGGGGCCTTTGCCCTGGAGAGGCTGGGCCCGCAGGCGGGCGGGGTCGTGGGGCTGGGCGGCTGCGGAGTGAGGGCCCCCCACCCGCGGGGCAGCAGGGTGGCTCCTGCACCCGCCTCCCTGTGTGTGCACACAGCACACGCCCACGTGCACGCGTGCAGCTGTGCCTCTGTGTGAGCAGGACCCAGCCTGCTCTGCCCGCTGCCCGGGCCCCAGTGCCGGCCACACGGTGGCAGCTCAGGTTGCTCACTGCACCTGTTGAAATATGGACGGTGCCCTACGGGTGCCAGCCCGTGCCCTGACCCAGACCACTGAGTCGCAGCTCAGCCTCCCCAGGTCCCCCGGCCACCGGGGAGCCGGACAACGAGCGGCCAGTTCTGAAACCAGCGGCAGCCGCCTTCAGTGCAGCCTGGGGCCCCCTGGCGTGGCAGTGGGGGTGGGGCTTCCCCAGGAGCCGGGGTGAGGTGGGAGGGCGGCTGGCAGGGAATGGGCCTGCAGCCCAGCCCCGCAGGCCTCCTCAGACCCCGCCCTGGGCCCTGGCTCCCGGCTCCCAGACCGGGGTCACCAGGTGACCCCCCCATCCCGCTGTCCCTGCAGCAGGCCAAGTTCGCCTTCTACCGCTGCTCCCTGCTGCTGCGCTGGCGGCTGCCGCACACCCTCTTCTGCGCACTGGCCTGGGAGAGGGGCCTTGGCGCCTGCCACTTCCTGTGGTCCTGTCTGGTGAGGGGCCTGGGGCGGGGGCGGGGACCCTGGGCTACAGCCGGGAAGGGGAGGCCAAGTGGGGGAGCTGGTCCCAGGCCCCGACGGGCGTGCTGTCCTCGGCCAGCTGACGCAGAGCCAGGAGGCGTTCGGCATCCACGTGTCACAGACCCTCAGCTACCTGCGCAGCAGCCAGCACCACCTCAGGACCGGGGCAGCGGTCTTCCTAGGTGACTCGGGTGACGGCTCAGGGTCCTCCGCCCCGGCCTGCCCCGCCCCGCCCACCCAGCACGGGCCACACCTCTCAACGCGCCCAGGGCCAAGGTGGTGGGGGGGGCCTTGGAAGGGCGGGAGTGGGTCTGAGCTCCCCAAAGAAGACAGGGAGCCCCCAGCCGCCCGTGACCCCGTCTGCCGGCCAGCACGCTCCGCTCTGTGTCGCACAGGTTACACCGTCTGCTACCACCCCCAGGCCATGTCCCAGATGGTGACCAAGGGGGACATGAAGCTGCTGTTCTCCGGTGAGCAGCCCCCTGCCTGCCCCGCCTGTGGGAGGGGCTCACCCACACCACCAGAAGCCATGGGTGGGCACCCGAGTGTGAGGGCTCAGAGTGGGAAGGGTTGGGGGCGGAAGCCCCCCAGGCTGAGAAGGCGAAGGCGGTGGGCTGGGCCCCTCCTGCTCCTCCACCCCACCCGAGGGAGCGTGGGGCGCTCTCCTCCCCCTGGGCAGGGCTGCGGGTGGCCTCTGACTGGTCCCTCCTCTCCCGAAGCTTTCAAAGATCTTCAAAAGGACCCAGAGCCCCGCATCCGCGAATTCGCCACCAGGCAGCTCAGCTTCCTCCCCCAAGTGGCAGCCAGCTGGGGGTGACCTGACTGCCCGCCACCGCGGCCCTCACCCGCCCCTCCCCGTGCCCACCGCGTGGTCAGCCCTGCCCCTCTGCACAGACCTTGGTTGCATAACATTTTTCCATTTGAAAGAAAGATCTAGATTCCACAAAGAAGCGTCCCACTTGTCTCCCTGGGCGGGGGGCGGGGGGGTGCCGAGGCCAGCCCAGCAGACACTGACAGGACAAAGGGACAGGGCCAGGCCTGGGGTGCAGACTGGGGACATTCTGTGAAGTCCCCGTGGGGCCTTGCAAAGGGCAGCCACTCCGCTCATGGAGACCAGGAGCCGCGCTTGGCCGGAGCCCACCAGTGCCCGGGCGCTGGGACTCCCCAAGGCCAGGGGGCCCTGGCCTCCCAGGGGGGTGGGGCCGTTCGCCGAGGCGGCCCCCAGACCTCATGTTAACTCCAGCTCGGAGCTCCGCAGGCTGCCAGCGAGGAAGGGGTCCCGCAGCCCGATGCCCCCAACCCTCCCTCTGTCCTCCGGCCCCGGTCCGGGCCGGAACCTGGGCCGGCGGCAGACCCCGCCGGGGCCCGGAGCCAGACTCCCCCGTAGGGCCCGGCCGCCTGCATGGGCTGCATGGCCTCCGCTGCCCCGCCTGTGAAATCGGCAGGAGGACCCTCCTCCCCAGGCCCTCAGGGCTGACCCGGAGGGGGCCCCGCACCCCCCAGCTTCCTGGAGACGCGCCTGACCTTCGGCCAGCCCTCCCCTTAGCTGGGGCTTCCCATCCTGTGAATGGGCGGTGTGCCCTTCCCTGGCCTCCCCCCAGGCAGCCTCTGTCTCTCTGGACCGGCCCAGCCGGTGGCCCACCTGCCTGTCCTCTCCCAGGCCACACGGACCCCACTCCCACCTCTGCTCACGCCACCTCCCACCGGGAGCCCTCCCCAGCCTCGCCCGCCCTGGCACATCCACATCCCTCAGGAACCAGGCTGCATGTCCCCGGCCCCCAGCCCCTCAAAGGCTCCACTGTGGCTAGGCTCCACTGTGGCTAGGCCCCGCTTGCACTAGACCAACCCCGAGCCTGCCACCCCTGCCCCGAGACCGTGGGCCCGAAGGGCAACGACGGGCCACCCTGGGCTGGCGCAGCAGCGGCCCCATAGCCTGGCAGCAGGTTAAAAAGACGGCGACCCTCCCGCCGAGCACATGTTTATATACTTGTGTTCGCTGACAAGCTCACGAAACGGGGGAAATGCCCCTCCGGTGGAGCTGGCGGCCCCTCCTCCCAGCAGCTCAGGAGGGCAGGGCCCACGCCCCCTTCCCGCCCCCTCCTTCCGTCCATCTCTGTCTCAGTGGGGCTCGCGGAGGAGGGGCTGCAGGGGGCTCCGCCTTTGCCCAGCTGCTCATCTCGTCCACCGACCTCACGGGCTCCTGCCTCCCCCACCCCAGCCCCTGGCCGGGCGCTGGGGGTGTACTCTTTGGGGACCAAGGGGCTGGGGAGGAGGGGCCCCCTGGTCCAGCCTGGTGGGCATGGTCTGGGGTGCCGTCTCCCCTAAAGAGAGCTTCCCTGGTCTCACCCATCAGCCACCCTCTGGAGGTCGGGTCAAGCTCCCTGGGCAGGCTGAGGCTCCGAGAGGCTGAGCCCCGCGGTGGGGAGGGGCCCACGCCCTCCTAGCAGGCAGCCGGACAGGCGGGGTTGGGCCCAGCGCTAGCACTTCCCCTCCAGGCCCGCCACAGCAGGCCGGGGACGGAGGGGCCCAGCCCGTGCCCTGCTGGCCACCCGCCCAGGGCCCCCAGCAAGGCGCAGCCCTGGGGCCCACCCTTCCAGCACTAGCAGGGTGAACCCGCGTAGGGGGCACCTGCCTCAACGGGGCTTGCGTCTTTCCAAGGCCTCGCCCTGGGGGTCCCCCTTCCTGCGCCCACCTCCGCCCAGGGGAGAAGGCGCTGGGCAAGCCGCTATCCCAGAACGGGCGCCGGTGGAGGGTGCGGTGGGGAGGGGGAGGTCAGCCAGGTGGATACAGATGGGGGCAGCTGGGACGCAAGGAGCTGCGTCAGCCACCGTCCCCGCTCCCTCTGGTCCTCCAAGCCTGCAGTGGGGACAGCTGCTGGGGGCAGCACGGGGCAGCCACTCACGGGCCCCAGGTCCCGGCCTCGCCTTCTGATGCCCCGGCCCCCAATCAGCAGCATGGGAACCAGGGGACCCGCTTGCTCTGCTGCATCAGAGCTGTCCTGGCCCTCCACGGAGGGTGCAGGGACCTGGCAGGGACGCCAGGGGGAGCCCCAGCGCAGCCCGGACAGGGGCCTCCGTGGGCCACCAACCACCCCAGCGGTCGGCCCTGCACCCCACTCTCCACACACGCCCGGCCACAGGGTCCTGTTTTATTGCCTTCGAGTGTCCGGGATGGCTGACTGCCCTCAGACCCAGTCACTGAAAGGACTGAGAACAGGTCAGGGCGAGGGGCTGCAGAAGATGGGTCGGGCCCGGTGGTTACACAGTACGCAGCCCCCAGCCAAAGTCCGGCGGGGGGGCCGGCGGCGAGGGTGGCGGCAGAGAGGCCAGGGGCAGGGCCCCGGACACAGCGTCAGAGACAGACGCACAGGACACGGGGACAGGGAGAGACCAGGGCGCAGAGAGACGGAAGGCAGAGGGCAGGATGGAGCTGAAAGTGGCAGACAGGCGGACAGACGCAGGGACAGACAGACGGAGAGAGACAGCAAAGGGGCTGGGCGGGGCGGGGTGGGCAGGCGGGGGTGCTGAGGTGTTGGGGGAGGGTGAGACAGAGGCACCGAGGCCCTGCGGGGCGAGGCAGGGCGGGCGGGCCCCCCCGCGGCCCCCAGCGGCTGAGTCCTGAGCTACATGATGCAGCATTTGGTCTTGTGCGTGCGTGAGTCTTTGAACCGCAGTCTCTGCTTGGGCCGGTATTTTTCCAAGTAGGTGAGCTGCTTGCTGTTGATGGCTCCGCGCCGCTTCCTGGGGAGACGGGTCAGGGGTGGGGATCAGGCGGGACCCGGCCCGGCCACCTGCCCTGCCCCTGGGGAGCTCGAGGCCCGAGAGTCCAAGGGGCCAGAGCAGAGCCCGTCCTACCGTCTGGCCTTTGCCTGAGCCGTTCCCACAGCCAGGACTGCCCTCCCCAGGCACCTGTTGTCACTCCTGCTGGCCTTCAACTCACCCGCTGTCCCCTCCTCCAGGCTGACCCCCGACCTCCCTCCCTCTGGGTCCCCACCCTCCCAAGGGCCCCACGTTTGCCAGGCGCCGGCGCACGCCCAGGCTGGGGCCGCTGGAGCCCGCCCAGGTGAGGCCTGAACAACCTGCTGTCTGGGAGGGAGGGCGGGCGGGAGGGACGTCAAGTGACAGGGCAGCAGGCGTCTAGGCTGTGCACCAAGCACTTCGGAGGCCGCCCATCCCTGCCATCCCGGGACCTCAAACGTGGCCATGACTTGCTCAGACCAGTGAAATGTGAGCGGAAGACACGCGTGTGCCTGGCAGAGCTTCAAGAGCCGTCGTGTGGCCCTCCGTGGCTGTCCCTGTGATCGCGTGACACCCCGGGACGGGGCTGCCTCCACGGACGGCCTCCGGCGGGCCCCGAGGGCGGGGACACCCTGCGTGGTTCTCCGTGGCCGCAGCCCGGCCCCGGTTACTGCAGCACGGCCCCGCCTGTCCTGACGCACAGGGCCTCGGGCTGAGGGCCGCAGCCCGGCCTTCACCTCGCCCCCACCCCACTCCTGGACACAAGCCCGGACGCAGACCACACACAGAGGCCAGTCCTCGGGGCAGGCGGCCCGGGGCGGGGGGGGTGCGTGGGACGGGGGGACATCGCAAAGGCTCCTCTGGAGCCAGGGGTTGGGAGTGCCGCGGGCAGGGCTCTCGGCCCCGCAGCGTGGGGCCCCCTCAGACCTGGACCCCTAAGCTCTCACTGACCAGCCTGCCCCACCGGCCGGCCACTCACTGTCGGATGAACTGGATGGCGTCTTCGTACTTCATCCCGCTCTCGATGAGGGCCAGCGCCACGAGGACCGGGGCCCTGGGGGCGGACAGCGGGGCCGGGTCACCCAGGCCTCGGCACCTCCCTCCGGGGGGGCCACCCGCTGCTGCCGCGGCCGGTGCTCTCACCCTGCCCTAGTCAGCTGACCAGACTCCCTCCAGTGCCTCTCCCTCCCCCATGAAGGGCGCCAGCTCAAAGCTCAGCCCCCTGGTCCAAGTCCCGCTCCCTCCTAGCCTGGTTGTGTGACCTCGAGCAGGCCAGGCAGCCACCCTGTGCTGGGCTCGGGATAAGAGCCCGCTACTCGGCCATCAGCCGTGCTCGGCCAGTCTCCCCTCTGCCAAGCCGGGTTGTTTCGGTCAAACCCAGGCTGTTGGGCGGGATGGGGGTCTCTGTGCCTGGGGAGAGACGGGGCTGGCAGCTCCTTCCTGCTCAAGTGCAGGGACAAAGTTGCAACCACAGCAGGAGGGAGTGGAGTCAGACTTCAGGAAGGACTTTCTTCCCTACGAGGCTGTGGGAGGCCCATAGCTGGGAACCCTCTGGAAAGCGGTCACGTGTGACGTGGGCTCAGCACCCACATCTGCGAGTGAGTCAGGCCACGAGACCCCCATGGTCAAACAAGCCTGCCCCGCGCCGCCGGCTCACCGTCCCAGGCCGGCCACACAGTGCACGGCCACACAGCTGCCGGGGTCATCACAAAACTTGGCCTTCAGCAGGCTCAGCCAGTCCTCTACCACCTTGCCAGGCGGCGGCGCCCCATCGTCAAATGGCCAGTCCTACAGAGGGAGCAGCGTGTGAGGACCCCCGCCCAGGCCAGCCTGTCCCCAGCCTCCAGAGGCGGCAACACCTGCCTGGCTGCCCCACGTCTCCCTGAACCCTCCCGCTGCAGTGGAAGGAAGGGACGGCGCCGGCCCCCGTGCCGCGGCGCTGCACGCGCTGTGCTCCCCGGTCGTTCTGAGCACCAGCAGGCGAGGGGCTGGGGTCACCAGGCAGGGCCGGGGCACAGGCGGGGCTCAGGCCGGGCCTGTGTGACCCCGAAGCCCCAGGTCCTCCTGCCACTCCGAATGGCTGAGCAGAAGTGACAACTGCCACAGACGGGGTCCCGCGGGGACAGGGTCCTCTCTCTGGTGCTGAGGTGGCTGAGGCCAGAGCAGAGCTGGGCGGTGCCTGCTGAACACCCTTTGTGCCTCGGGCCCAAGCCAGGGCAGCCCTGGGCCAGAGAGGCGCCGTGGGGACCCTCCCGCAGGGTCACGAGGGCACGGGTCCCCAGGGCCAGGGACCAAGGGAACGGCCCAAGCGAACCTCCCCAGGGGCCCGCCAGGTGCGCCGGCCCCGCCCTCCCCGCAGCACCTGCGGCCCAGCGGCAGGGCCCCAGGCGCAGGCAGCCAGGGCTGAGGGCAGGCGTTGGGCCGTTGGCTCCCAGCTGGGCCGCACGCTCTCGGAGGCCGTGGGCGCCGCTGAGCCTTGGGCATCTGCACAGCGGAGCCATGTCCCCGCCAGGCCTGGCTGCTTGGGTCACAGCCCCAGCCCCTGGCAGAGAAGTGCCCCTGCCGGGGGAGCCATTCCCAAAGTGCCACTCCCCAGGTGGTCCCAGTTCTGCCGCAGCCTGTGGCCTCCAACAGGCGCGGACCCCAGCCTCAGTTTGCCCACCACCGAGCCACGCGGGGTGTGTCCTGAGGCTGGGAAGCCGTGCACCTGCCACCCCGGCAGGCAGGGGGCCTGTGGCAGCGCTCGGAGCGTGTGCGCCCCCCTCCCGGGCCGGGCCGGGCCAGCCGGGGACACGCACGCCCCCTCTCGAGGAAGGAGAGGGCTATAGAGAGAGGAGGCCACCCACCGGAGGTCACCCAGCCCGATGCCTGGGCCTCCCTGAGATGTGTCCAAACGCACACGCGGCCAGGCACACCAGAGCGGACCCAGGGCGCCTGCCTCCCGCGCTGTCTGGGCGAAGGGGGCTCCCCGCCCCCCCGCGGCAGAGCCCTCCACACCACGCAGCCCTCTCACCACGACGGTGATGCCGTCCTTCTCCAGCAGGGCCTTGTCGTAGGTCACTTCGCACACGCGCACCACGGTGGTGGCCCCGTACTTCTTCAGATCCTGGCAGGGCGGGAGGAGGAGAAGGCTGGGCCGGGCTGCAGGGCTCGGCGGGGCTCGGGGAGGGACCCCCCTGGCCGGGCAGGGCCGTCCGTGCCAGCTCAACAGGACAGCAGGCCCGGTGTGCAATGCGAGCCAGCAGGGGCGGCCTTTGGGGCTCCGAGACGCGCCAGGGGCAGGAGTCTTCCCTGAGGCTCCTGGGCACTGCGCCCTGGCCCGCCGAGCAGAGGGAAGGTGTCCCCGTCCGGCCCACCATGACCGTAGCCTCCAGCACATCGCCTCTCAGCCTGGGTGCTCAGGACCCATAAAGACCCATTCTCCAGACAAACCCCCTGGATCCCCGCGCGGAGACAGGGCGCCCCCAGCCTGCACGGGGGGCCCCTGAGGGATCGGCACGCTGAGCAGCCCTCCCAGCGGGGGCGTCCGTCTGGGGGAGAGGCCTCTGGGGGCAGGGGCCCTGGGGCAGGAGAGCCGGCAGGCGCTGAAACGGTGGCAGAAGGGAGGCAGGCCCTGCACACCGGCGGGGAAGCCCCAGGGAAAAGGTCGAGGCCGTTGACAGCCAGGCCCAGGGGTATTTATACCCGGGGGGGGGGGGGCGGGGGCGGGGACGGGCAGGTGTCCCCTCCACCAGCCGCGTGCAGGGGCTGCTCCCACGCCACCTCCTCCCAGCGGCTATTTTAGGGGCGGTGAGGAATCAGCTGCTGGGCCTTGCTCGTCATGGGACAGGGACACTGGACACAGTGAGATCAGGACGGAGCACCTCTAAGAATTCCGGAGCAGGAGGGGGTGCCGGGCTCTGAGGCCGTGGGGGCGCCCCAGGCCCCTCCGCAGAGGGTGCTGCCACCCAACGCAGGTCAAAGCCCCAACCCCAGGCACACGCTGACCCTCGACCCTGGTTTCACACTGAGCCCTGCGCCCAACCACAGGCGGACCCCGGACCCCGGACCCCGGTCACAGGCTGAGCCCTGAGCCCGGCCACAGGCTGCGCGCTGTGCTCCATCCCTTCCCTTGCTGGGGTCTCACCGGCCTCTGCTGTGAGGCACACAGCCCTCAAAAGGGCCCCCGGCTCATGTCCAGGGTCCAGGACCCCTGACAGGAGGACGCACACCGCCTCCCCCGTGCGGTTTCCAAGGTCCCCTCAAGCCCAGGTCCCTGAGTAACAATGACAAGCACTCGCGAGGCCACCAACGGCCCTACACACGAGCCGGGCCTGGCAGCAGGACGGCGTCCGAGCCCCCCACCCCCGGCGGCGACCAGCCCAAGGCGTGCGAGGAGACACGGGCTCTGCAGGCACATCTGGTCCCCTCTCCTCCGGCCCCGGACTCACCAGCCCGGACCCTTGCCCAGCCCCTCCGCACGCGGACACCAGCGGCCCGGAGCCCCGCTCGGCCTGTGCTGACCGGGCCTCCCCCAGAGCCCGTGGGCTTCCTGCGGCCTGAGCTGGCCCGGAGCTGGCCATGGTGCTGGCCTCCACGTCGCACCCCACGCCCCCCCCCACCACCGCCTGTCTCCAGGCTGCCCGGCAGCGGCCCCTCACCTGGGCCCCCCGCCCCCGGCTCAGCCTCGGCAGGGGCCAGGGGCACAGGCTGCCCCTCCCACCCCGAACCTGCCTCCGTCCACGCAGCCTGGAGCCCGCCCGCCCACACACCGGCCCCCGCAGGAGCCAACGACCCCCCAGCAGCCCTCGCCCTGAGCTCCGGGGACAGTTCCGTGTCCCCCCTCGGGGATCCCGTCACCCGGGAGGCAGCTGTGTTCGCCGGATACCTCGCCCGGCCCACTCACCTCGACGAAGGCGCTGAGGGTGGCGTTGGTGGGGTTGTGCGTGATGAGGAATCGCATGTTCTTGTAGCTCACCTCCACTGGGGCTGGCCGGTTCATGCGTGCCATGGCCGCTCCCCGAGACAGGCTGCGGACACAGGCGGCAGGGGCCCCAGCCCCCCAAAACCCAAGAACGGGATCCCTGTGCTTGTCCACGAGAGAAAAATGCTTTTTAAAAAACCCGCCCCCAGACCCCGCACAAATATTGTGCAAATACTCGGGAGGGGGCAGGAGAGTTAAAAAAGAAACCCCAACTCTTTAAAAAAGAAAATACAGCCCCCCAGAAGTAAGGCGGGCCTGCCCAAGCTCCTGCCTCTTAGAGACTAATAATTACAAAAGGGCAAAAGTAAAAACAACAATCGAAAGACGCAGCCAAGAAAACCTGTAAGAGCCCCGAGTCAGTCCGGCCGCCGTGGCCGTGCCCGCGCTGCGCCCGTCGCCGGGGACGTCCTCTCTGCATCGGTCGACAGGCGGGCCACCCCTCCCCTCAAAGGCGGGCCCCGAACCCCCAAGGACCAAAGGAAAAGCAAACGGGAGCTGGACCGACGGGGCCTCCTTGGGGCGGAGGTCACAGGCAGCGCCGGGCAGACGGGCGGCGGCTCCGATGCGGGGGCCTGTGTCACGTTACCCCATCGGGGCACGGCGAGTCCTGGCAGGGCGCGGGCGGCTCAGGTGGCCCTGGGCCGGGCGGAGGCCATGGGCGGGTGAGGGCGATGGTGAGGGCCAGAGGCTCGGGGGCGCCCTCAGCAGCCGGCGCGGCGGTGCTGGGCGTGGCAGGGCTCAGGGCCGCCCCTGGGGGCCCTCGCCATGAATCCCGGGCTGGTCAGCGGCAGGCGGCGTCTGCGCACAGAGGGGAGAAGGAAATGGAAAGGCCCGGGGTCACCGGGAGCCCGGCCTGCGAGAGGGGCGTCCGCCTGCCCGGCTCCCTCCGCTACATCGATGCTGCTCCCCGGGATCCGCGGAGGGAGCAGCCCTCCTTGGGCCTCCGTTTCCCCATGTGCGAGCACAAGGAAGGACAGCGCCTGGAAGGCTGACCCAGCGCGCTGAGGCGACAGGGCAGCCACCAGACGGAGGTCAGGGTCATCCACGCACCCTAGGGGAGCCCTGAACCCCCACACGGAGGCCAGGCAGCCTGTGGTGGCAGGCCTAGCACTTTCAGTCCAGCCCCTCCTGTGATCAGCAGATGCCCCACCCACACCCCAGACCATCCCCCCGTCCCCCAGTCCCCCGTGGAATTGCAGAGCCAGGGGACCCTGGGGCAGCCCAGCCCGGCGGCCAAGGGGCTGGGACCCAGCGGGTGAGGGGAAGGAGGTCCCGCTCACGGCCACGATCCACCTTACACGCCTCTCCGCCCCGGCCACGGTCCCCACCATTCGCCCACAGGGCAGGCGGGGCACAGGGGTCAACAAGCCGGGCTCTGTCCTCCGGGCGCTCGGCGAACCAGGACAGAGACCGCAGCAGCCAGAGGGCCGGCCACCAGGCACATGCCAAGGCGGTGAGAGCGCAGGCAGCCAGGAGGGGTCACTCTGTGGCAGGGTGCCGGGGGGACGTTGCCAGGCCCCAGGGACAGCCGTCAGCGCCTCCACAGCTGCCTCTCCCTCTGAGGCCCTGGAGGTGCAGCCCCGCTCACACCCCTGCGGGCAGGCTGGCGTCCTTGGGCACACCCCCGGCCTCAGTTCCCCCCTCTACACAATGAGAAGCCACAGAGGATGCCCCCAAGGTCGCTCCAGCTGTGACTCAGGGGCCCCTGGGGCCTCGGCCTGGGTGCAGGAAGGGCCCAGGGCCTCAGACCCGGACACAGCGGGCCCACGGCACCGCCTCTCCCGGGCTCAGGGCAGCCGCGGAGTCTCACGCCCACCCTGCCCCCTGCCGTGGTCCCGGGAGGGTTCAACAGGGCGCAGGGCCCCAGGAGGAGGAGAATGGCAAAGAGAAGGACCTTGTCCGCCCTCAGCCGCTGGCCTGAGCCACCCCACAGCCAGGAAGGGACCGCTGCGGACGCCCTGAACAGCGGCACGCAAGCGCCTGAGCCTCCTGGGCGGCAGCGTGGCCTGTATGCGTGCACGTGTGCGTGTGCATGCGTGTGCAGCCGTGTGCGCAAGTGTGTTTACCAGAATGAAAGGAGGAATAAGGCCCAAGGAAGCCGCAGGACTCCACCTCCCTGCCTGGGGACACCTGTGGGCAAGAGCAGAAGGCCTGGCTCTGCTGCCCAGGTCCCTGGACTAGCCTCAGGGCCACGGGTCACTGGGCAGGGAGGGGCCTGGAGCCCCCTGCTACTGCCCGCTTGAGCCTGGAGTTGTCACTGGTCAGTGGGTCAGGGGCTAGGCTGGCTGGGGTCGGAGCTCTGGGCAGAGGCTGGACCAAGGCCGTGACCCGGGCTGGGTTCTCGCCACACACCCCGCCGGTCCCTGCAAGGGCTGGGACTCCCAGCCGCAGGTGGGAGCAAACAGGGTGCCCGCTCCCCTGTCCCAGGCACCCCGCATGGCTCAACCAGGACCTGCGGCCACCCCCAGGGAAAGACCCCCACCCACACCTCCTCAGTGAGGTCGTGGAGAGGTCCGGGGCGGAGCAGACCCAAGTCCACCAGCCACCAGCCACCAGCCCCACGCCCCACCCACTCCGCAGGAGCCTGAAGCACCTCTGTCTGGCCGTCTGGCCACAGCCCACCCCCCGCACCCCACCCCCGCTCCCGGGGGACCCTGCCCGGAACAACTGTCCTGGGAGACCTGCGGCGGGAGGCCCCCCTCGGCCAGCAGGCGCTGAGGGGTGAAGAGCCCAGAGAGAGACAGAGGCCCTGCTCCCGCCGCAGCAGAGGCGACGCGCTCCCGGGCTTTCCTGCAGCTGGGGGGGTGGGGGCGCGGGAGGGGGGGAAACCGCCCCCAAGCCGGCTCTGGAGCCGGCAGGAGTTTGAATCCGGAGAGCTCAGCGACGGCCAGCCCCTCTGGACCCAGAACCGGTGTAAAAGCGGAGCGAGGGCTCAGGGGGGCCCGGAGGGGTAAGGCGAGAGCACCGGGAGCGCGAAGCACCGGGAGCCGGCTCGGGCCGGCTCGGGGGAGGGCCGCCCTGTCCGGCGGCGCGTCAGCCCCGGGCACGCGTGGAGGCTGGTTCCGAGCGCTGCGGCCACCTCCCCGGGGCGGGGCTGGGGTCCTCCCGGCACGCCCCCCGCCCGCGCCCGCGCTCCCCGCTCACCCGAGAGTGCAGGCGTCCTGCCGCTGCCTCCATCCGCACGGGGCCAAACCGAGCCGGGCCAGGAGACCCACGGTGCGGGGCGGTGGCTCCGCGCGGAGGCTCCCCGGGCCGGCGGCCGGGGGCTATTTATAGCGCCCGGGCATCACGTGGGCGGGGTGGCCGGTGACCGGCTGGCGACCTGGCTTGTTGTGGCTCCCACACCTGCCGCCTAAATATAACCGTGGGCCCGCCGCGCCCGGCAAACAAAGGGGCGGCGGAGGGCCCAGCGCAGAGGAAGCGGCGCGGAGGAAGGGGAAATGCAAGGGCAGAGGGGAGGGCCGCTGGCCGCCGCGGGGCGGGGCCCCTGCCGCCGGGCGCACGGCCTTCCTCCTACCCGAGCCAGTGCGCGCCGCCCTGGAACCTCTGGGGCTCCCTACGGCCCCATCGCAGGGGGGCCGTAGGGGGGCCGCAGCGGAGCCGCGCGGCACGGCGCGGAGCGGGCCCTGGTGGGCACCTTGGCCCAGGCCAAGGCCTGGACCCAGAACTTTGAAAATGCAAAGGAGGGTGCCCGTGGCCCAGGTGGGTAGACGAGGCTGACCCCCACGCCCCGCGGCTCATGCCACGCGCCTCGCCTGGCCCTGACGGCTGCCTGCTCAGGCTCCTGCTGGGACCCGGGTGTCACGCTGAGGACCCTCCACGTCCTGGGCACCCACTGCGTCCTTCGCCGCAGGCAGGGGCGGTGGCTGTCATTCACCGCCCCGCCCCTAGTGTGCAGGTGAGGAATGGGCGCCACAGGACACCGAGACCAGGCAGGGTCCCACGGGCAGGCAGTGTTCACAGGGTGCCGCCCCCGCTGCACCCGCTCTCCCAGGCTCGGAAAAGACGCCCCCTGCCCAGGAGGCCCTCCGTGGCAGTGACACCCCTGGGCAAAACCCGCCCCAGGGGCCCTGGCTGGCCTCCAGGGCGCACGGGTCCAGACGCACGTGGCCCCCCAACTCGGCGCCTGGGCCCCGGGCAGCCCTCGCACTCCAGGGCTCTCTGCTCCCGGCTCCCCACAGCAGCCCCCGGACAGTGTCCCACCAGCCTCCCACCAGGACTGCTTGCTGAGGGCCTGCCCCAGTCCCCCGGACACGGGCAGACGCCGCAGGCCACGAACAGCACTGTCAGCCACACTGGGTAACACACCGCAGCTCGAAGAGCTCGAGGGGCTTTCTCGGCCAGGAGGTGGGGCTACGGCGGGCGGGGTTTTGCCCACTGGCTGGGGCGTCAGCAGACAGGACCTCTGGGGCCAGCGGCTTCCCCTCCTGGGCGGTTCTCACCGTCCAGGTGAGAGCACCCATCCAGCCCCGGGATCCCGCCCCTGGACACAGAGCCCACCCTGCCGCGCAGGCAGCAAACCTGGGCCCCAGCACCCTGTCCCCCCTCGCCTGGGGCACGCACCCCCTCGGGCCAGGCCTGGGGGGCACCTGCTGCCCCTGGCACAGCCCCAAGCCCTTCAGAGAAGTCTATTTTTATCGGGCAGGAGCCGTTCCTGGAATCCTCCCAGAGTGAGCCCGAGTCCACACACTGCTGGGGGGGTCTGGGGGGCGACCAGACAGGAGAAGCCCTCACCCACCCACCCACCCGCGGGAAGCTTCCCAGGGTCCTCCCACCCCTGCACCCGGCAGCACCCAGGCCCAGCCCCCACTGACAGTCACTGTGGCCTCCCTTCCCCCGCTCCTGCCCGATCCCCTCTCCCTTCGGCCGCTGCCCTTCAGAGTGGAGAGCGGGCCAGCCCCCGGGAGGGCGGGTCCCAAAGGCGGACACAGAGGTTGTCGATTCCGCCCTGCCTCCTGCAGGGGGGCCGGGGCCAGGAGGGCCCCCTACTTGTTTGTGGACAAATGACCCAACGTTCTGGGCAGAGGTCCAGGTCTGGGGAATGTCCAGAACCCAACACGGGATCTCAGCCCCAGAAGAGCCTCAAAGGTCACGGACGCCACCAGATCCCTGGCCCACACTTGGGCTTGCTCACCACTCCTTGGCCCCGCCTCCCGCCTTCGGGCGGCTCCCCAAGTTATCAGTCCCTCCCTCCAGTGCCTGCTGAGTGCCCACTGCCTCGGTCGGTCGGGAGTGGCAGGAGGGAAGCCTCCCAGCAGAATCAGCCCGCACGGCAGGCAGGCGCTGCAGAAGGCAGAGTTGGGGCATCAGGTGGTCAGGGAGGGCTTCCTGGAGGAGCAGGCCCGGAACGGCATCCTCGAGGCTTGGCTGGCTGCTCTGTCTCCCTGCGTGACCCAGGGCCAGCACTCGCCCTCTGTGGGGCCTGTGGTCTCCTCTACAAATGGAGACACTGCCAGGGAGGAAAGCCACTCTGTGCAGTGGGGGCGGCTCCCAGCCAGGCCCCGGGCACCCACTGTGAGCTGGAGGCGGAGCAGACTTCAGCGTCCATGGGGCCAGGGCCCTCTCTACCCACCAGGATCTCGAGGTAGAGAAGACACGCTCGGAGCTCACCGCTGACCCACAGTCCTGCGCGGGGTCACCCTTGCTGCACACATGGCTCCGTGGTCCCCATGGGGCGTGGTACTGACTTGCCACCCCGTGCGGCCTGTCCTCTGAGGCCACAGCCCCACCACGGACCGCAAAGCTTAACTGCCACTCTCACGGGCGGGCGGGTGGAGGTTGGCCAGAGCGGGCCACGGCGCCTCTTGCTTTGATACTCAGACCCTCGGGGGGCCATTAAACCTGGATCACAGCAGACGGCTATCGATGGGTCGGAGCTGCCGGTGTCCACAGCAGCTAGGACTGGCAATTACCTGCTTTTCCGTAGGGCCTGAAGCCCTCCAGGGTCAAACAGATTAGAAGCCCCTCCATGTACTGGGGGGGCGGGGGGGTCTGTGTCCCTGACGCTCCACTGATCCGTTTTGTACGAGGGGAATAACATGGCCCCACGCAGCACCGTTAGGATCCAAGTTCACAAAGGAGCAGGAGAGGGTGCGGTCAGACCGGCATCCAGTGGCCACGCCAGCCACAGGTCACGTGTGACAGCCCCCAGCACTTCCAGGGGGCGTGATGACAGGGTGGCCCAACCTGCCCTGTGCACACCGGCTGTCCTGGGTGATTATTCACAACCCCACCCCCACCCCAACCTGACAATAAATGACCCATCGTGCCATCCCTGGCCTTCATTTAACGAAGAGGACGTGGACACAGAGGGCTCCTAACGACCAAGGGGCAGAAGAGCCAGGCTGGCCCCCACGGCAGTGTGACCCGCCCCCGCTCCTGACGGTGCAGCCCGGTCCCCCTCCCCCGGCCCCGCGGAGGACGGGCGCCACACCTGGGAGGCTGGGGGCACGTGACAGTCTCAGAGAGCCTGGGACGAGAGCATGCCCTCCCACGTGGTCCAGTCCAAGCCCTGCAAGGACGAGGCTCCCTTACCAGGGTGGCCTCTCGCCCCCTGACTGAGGACACCGAGCGGAGGTCCCGGGGGCCCCAGCTCTGCTGCTCTCTCCAGGCCTCCAGCCACCCCCCATCCACACCCGGCCCCACACCCCGGGGGCCACTGAGGCGGCCAGGAGCCCTCGGACACTCACCCGAGTCCCAAGTCCTGGAGTCCCTTGTGGCTGCGCCCCCAGCCTGGCTTTATCCCTGCCCACTTGCCCGCCCTCCCGCGTCAAAGGCTCCAGACCCCCGCCCGCCCTGAGTCGCAGTGGGGCTGGGGCACCGGCAGGGGCAGCCCCGGGAGGCTCCTGCCGCCAGCCCTTGGCTCCCGCCTCCAAGGGCCATCGGCAGCTGGACAGGGGGGCTGGGACACGGGTCTGAGGTCGCAGGGGGCGCCCTGGTCCCAGGAGGAGGAAAGGCGTGCCCCTCCCCCCCGGGCCAGGCTCGGCCGTCGCGGGCAGGGCAGTCCCCAGGGCCCTGTAAGCGTGGGCAGCGGGGGCTGGAGGGGCAGGCTCAGAGCCGGAGGGGAGGGGAGTCCAGGCACCGCGGCCAGGCCTTGCAGCTGGCAGGGGGGCCGGCTGGGGGCGGGGGGCTCCCCAGGGCTCCGGCCTGCCGCCCCTGCCTGCTGCGGTCTGTGAAGGGGGTCCTAGGGCCCTTTCCTCGCTGGGCGGGCTCGCTGCCCTGCCGCCACCGCACCTTCCCGCACAGAGACGCTGCCCCCAGCCTAAGTGCCCCTGCCCTCCCAGCCTGCTGGGGGGCCCTTGAGGTCTCCCCACTCCAGGTAGCAGCCTGGCTTTTCCCGAGCGTCCTCGGACCTCCGAGTCACTCTCTTCAGACTCCTGTGGCCCCTTCCTCCCAGAGAAAGGAGGCAGAAGGTCAGCCAGTGGGTGAGGAAGCGGAGCCCTCGCCCTGGGGGAGGAGCTGTTCCTGCCTCCCAGGGCCACGGCCGACACCCCTCCCCCACCAGGATGCCGCCCCAGGATGGTGACACCAGGAAGGGTGGAGGTTTCTCCTCCGACCCTGGGTGGGGGCTGGGGCGCCTCAGACCGTCCAGTCCCCCGTAGGGTAATTCCTGGGGGCTGAGTGTGGCACCCCAGGACGCCCACGCTTATGCCTGCCCCCCAGGGCAGCGATGGGGAGCGACAGCACTAGGAGAGGCCTACCCCTGCCCCCCAGGCCTCCCACCAGTCCCGCCCCCTCTGCCCATCCCCCAGGTGGGGACAACCTCAGAGGATCATCCTACACAACCGGAGGGACCACTCCACAGTGGCTCCCAGGTCGCCGCTCAGGCGGGACTCCCAGTGCTCATTGCACCCCCCAGTGAGACTGGGAGCCCCATGTGGACGCTCCCTCGGCCACAAAGGGGGCGCGCGGATGAGACGGCTCTGCCAGGAAGGATGGGGACCGCCCCAGCACAGCCCGGCACCCGCATGTCCTGCGCACCCTCTGTGCCCCGGCCCATGCCCACCTTCCTTCCAGGAGGCCACCGCGCCGGCTGGGCGCCACCTGCCCCCTGCCTCGGCCGTTGCCTCCAAGATGGGCTGCCCCCTTGCTGAGCCCAGGGGCCCCGTCTTGGCACCCAGAGGGTTAGAACTGTCAGTCTGAGCCTCCGACCGGGGGCCCTGGGCCCACTACGGCCGCTCCCGGCCCCAGCCAGCCGTCCTGTCTTAGATTGGACGTGGCTGGACTCACCTGTGGGTCCAAGCCCTCGCCCTTGATACAG